GTACTGACCTCGCCTTCTATTTACCACCACAAACGGATGCTGGCACTAAGACCACACTCAATGAACTGTATACGGCCTTAAGCAAACAGGAAAACGCTTATCCAGAGGCGGCGCTCCTAGTGGCCGGGGACTTTAATGCAGGGAAACTTAAATCTGTTTTACCTCATTTCTACCAGCATGTTAAATGTGCAACCAGAGGGAGAAAAAAACTCTAGACCACCTTTACTCCACACACAGAGATGTGTACAAAGCTCTCCCTCGCCCTCCATTTGGCAAATCTGACCATAATTCTATCCTCCTGATTCCTGCTTACAAGCAAAAACTAAAGCAGAAAGCACCAGTGACTCGGTCAATAAAAAGTGGGCACGTCCCCATTCTCATCGACAGGGCTGTAGTGGAGCAGGTTGAGAGCTTCAAGTTCCTTGGTGTCCACATCACCAACAAACTAACATGGTCCAAGCACACCAAGACAGTCGTGAAGAGGGCACTACAAAACCCCTAAGGAGAGTGAAAAGATTTGGCATGGGTCCTCAGATCCTCAAAAGGTTCTACAGCTGCACCATCGAGAGCATCCTGACTGGTTGCATCACTGCCTGGTATGGCAACTGCTCGGCCTCCGAACGCAAGGCACTACAGAGGGTAGTGGGTACGGCCCAGTACATCACTGGGGCCAAGCTTCTTGCCATCCAGGACCTCTATACCAGGTGGTGTCAGAGGAAGGCCCTAAAAATTGTCAAAGACTCCAGCCACCCTAGTCATAGACTGTTCTCTCTGCCACCGCACGGCAAGCGGTACCGGAGAGCCAAGTCTAGGTCCAAGAGGCTTCTAAACAGCTTCAACCCCCAAGCCATAAGACTCCTGAACATCTAATAAAATGGCTACCCATACTATTTGCATTGCCCCCCCCCCCCCCCCCCCACACACCACCCCTCTTTTCACTTTAATAACTCTACCCACATGTACATATTGACTCGGTACCGGTACCCCCTGTATATAGCCTCGCTATTGTTATTTTTACTGCTGCTCTTGAATTATTTGTTACTTTTATTTCGGATTATTTTATATTGTATTGTTTAGTGATTTTTTGGGGGTATTCTTTCTTAAAACTGCATTGTTGGTTAAGGGCTTGTAAGTAAGCATTTCACAAGGTCTACACCTGTTGTATTCGGCGCATGTGACAAATAAAAATTGATTTGATTTGGATGATAGAGGAGTGAACAGGCTATGGCTCGGGTGGTTGATGTCCTTGATGATCTTTTTGGCCTTCCTGTAACATTGGGTGCTGTAGGTGTCCTGGAGGGCAGGCAGTGTGCCCCCGGTGATGCGTTGGGCAGACCGCACCACCCTCTGGAGAGCCCTGCGGTTGCGGGCGGTGCAGTTGCCATACCAGGCGGTGATACAACTCGACAGGATGCTCTCAATTGTGCATCTGTAAAAGTTTGTGAAGGTCTTAGGGGCCAAGCCGAATTTCTTCAGCCTCCTGAGGTTGAAGAGGCGCTGTTGCTCCTTCTTCACCACACTGTCTGTGTGGGTGGACCATTTCAGATTGTCAGTGATGTGTACGCCGAGGAACTTGAAGCTTTCCACCTTCTCCACTGCGGTCCCGTCGATGTGGATCGGAGCGTGCTCCCTCTGCTGTTTCCTGAAGTCCACGATCAACTCCTTTGTTTTGTTGACGTTGAGGGAGAGGTTATTTTCCTGGTACCACTTCGCCAGGGCACTCACCTGCTCCCTGTAGGCTGTCTCATCATTGTTGGTAATCAGGCCTACTACTGTTGTGTCATCTGCAAACTGATTGAGTTGGAAGTGTTCGTGGCCACGCAGTCATGGGTGAACAGGGAGTACAGGAGGGGGCTGAGCACGTACCCTTGTGGGACCCCTGTGTTGATGATCAGTGAAGTGGAGGTGTTGTTTCCTACCTTCACCACCTGGGGGCATACATGGCAAAAGAGATAGTCAAAAAATGAATAATATGCCATTTAGCAGACGCTTTTATCCAAAGCGACTTACAGTCATGCGTGCATACATTTTTGTGTATGGGTGGTCCCGGGGATCGAACCCGCTACCTTGGCGTTACAAGCACCGTGCTCTACCAGCTGAGCTACAGAGGACAACAGGAAGCATGTTTTGAAGTGTCTGTCCTATATCTGAGCGATATAAGGAAGCTCAGGATTTTTTATTCATTTTTTTTATCGTGGAATGACCCGTATACCGTTGACGTGGAAATGCCCTATTCACTTCCATTCATTTTTAGGCCTGGTACCGGGATACCTTCAGACGAGTCTTGTGAGGCTTGTGGGTGTCGTAGAGCAATGTGGTCATATTAGTTTGTAGCGCAAACCGTTTGGCTTCTACAGACAGAAGTTGGCACATCGGTGGTACAGACTTCAGATGAGTCCCGTGAAAGGTCGTAGAGCAAAATGAAGAACACCATTGGGTACCATCGTGACAGACCAACACAGCCGTAGCTCTGCCACCTTCCACCGCAGATACGGGAGGCCGACATCAACAGATGTGGTGGATTGAGACGCAGCCCATGCAAAAAAACCCCGGATATTTCTATTTTAAACAGACAGATTACGATGGGGATTTTTGATTATGTTAATATAATTTACACGCGGGTGCAGGCATTGACTCTAGGGGTTAAAGTAGTTGGTCACACATTCCTTGCACGCAATGACTACATCAAGATTGTGACTCTAAAAACTTGTTGACTGCATTTGCGGTTTACTTTGGTTCTGTTTTGGATTATGTTCTGCCCAATAGGAACTGAATGGTGAATAATTAATGCTTTGTGCCCTTTTGGAGTCACTTTTATTGAAAGTAAGAATAGAAGATATTTCTGAACACTAATGTAGATGCTACCATGATTATGGATAATCATGAATGAATTGTAAATAATGATGAGTCAGAAGGTTACAGGCACAAAGATCATACCCACCAAAAAATGCTAACCTCCCCTGTTATTGGTATTGGTGAGGTTAGCAAAAAATAAACTAAAGCAATGTTTTGTTGTAACATACACCGGATAGGTGCAGTGAAATGTGTTGTTTTACGGGGTCAGTCATAGTAGCAAATTAGGGTTAATTGCCTTGCTCAAGGGCACAGTCAGATTTTTCACCTTCGGCTCAGGTATTCAAACCAGTGACCTTTTCGTTACTGGCCCAACACTCTAACCGCTAGGCTACCTGCCGCCCTATGTTTATTCATGATTTATTTTGAATAAATAAATAATACATGTATACTAATAATTATAATAATAATAAATAATAGCTAGGGTACCTGTAGCTCCATGTTTATTCATGATTAATTTATGATTATTCTTAATTAATTATGGCATTATCAGGATTAATTTAGAAGTGTTCAGAAGCATTTCACCATTCAGTTAGTATTTCGATTTGATCTCAAATCCAAAATGCTTGAGTATAGAGACAAATTGTAAATGAGAATACCCTCAAATAAAAGGTGACATTCTGTACTGTCACGTCATATAAAACATTTGATCTCAAATCCAAAATCACATTTTTGCTTCATTGTCCAAAAACATATGGAGGGATTGTATAGAAACTAAGAATGTATTGGCTGTCAGAGACAATAGCCATTCGATACAATGAATTTGATCATTATCAGATATCAGGAAAATATATTATACATATTATATAATGTAATGTTGAGATTTGTAGATCTACATGCTATAGATGTCTTGTTTCATCATTGTCATACCTCTGGTTAAGTTGTTCTGTGTGCTGTATCCCCTTCCAAATACACAGTCATTCCCTAGCTGGAGCTGGGTCTGTGCAGCTGGAGCTGTGGAGACTCTCGGCAGAGCAGGCATCGATACATGATTGATCTTACAGTACTGTCAGGACATATATAAATATTATATCATTATGTTGATTTAGTCTCGCTTGTATTGGAATCATTGTTTTGTTAGTTTCTGTGTGACGTATTTAAACAGTCATTCCCATGGGTGGGTCTGTGCAGCTGGAGCTGGGATCGTCCACCCAGGAGCGCATGATGTTCCAGCTGTAGTGTAATTGGCTGAACACTGGGTGTCTCAGGGCAGTTTCTTGGATGGACCATTCGTTTTGATGTTTTATGTACCATTTTGTAAACTATAAGCTATTTTTACCGTGATGGAATTATTAAAAAAAAATATATGTGGCCTACAGGCTGCTTACATGTTTGATCAATGATTTACTTTTCAATTTGACGTTATTAAAATGTGATTGTGAACATATTGCATTCCATGAATTCGTATTTCTGTTCATAAATCATTGTTTTCTGATAAGTGAAGTGCACAAAACTTGCTCCAAAAAATTGGATTTCAGAGCAGCCACAGACGAAGGGGTAACCCAGACACGTCACAGGGGCTATAAAACAGAAGCATCCATTTAGAACGTTTTCTCCCTAACAAATATGGAAAGAGAGGAAGTACAGTCGCGGATAGTGGGAGAGGCTGGAACTAAGTGAAACTCGGCCGACACTCTGCTCATTTTCTCATCGATCGAACATCTGAAGAAAAAAAAGATGTTCCCAAAACTACAATCTGTTACGAACAAAGTCCACTAAGTTTTATAGACGCTTTGCCGAAGTGTTTATTTATATTTTTTATTGCGTTATTTAGGAGTGCAAGGTCGATTTGAGTTTGTGCACACGCGCACTTCACATAGGAGGCGTTCCCTAGCGGAAATATGCAAATACATGCTACAACGCGCCAATAAGATCTCGCTAGCTCGTGCTTGGCTTTGCCCACCTCCTTGCTTGTTCTGCCCACTATGCTTCATTTGCTCCCGCTGTAAACGACAGAGATTACATATCTTGGATTAGTTATAAATATCTTTAGCTAAGCATTTCGAGGGAAATAGAGAGGCGGAGATTAAAGTGTGCGCGTTTTTCCCAATCTCCCATTGGTCCAGGTCTAAGACCAGGAAATGCTCTTGCCCCCATCTTTTACTTGATTGGACATATCTTCTATATAGGCGTGTCTTCAACTGCTACCAAAATAAACCGGGAAATTCAACGTTTGACAGACAAGAGAGAAGTCAACACAGGACCTGCCGCTGCATCAATAATTTTGGTATTTTTGTTAGCTAGTTAACCGACAAAATGCCTTCTACATCTGAAATGCACACATCTGCACCTTGTAACAACGAAGAGCCAAAGAAAGCAGACAGTCAGGTCGGACAAAGTTCGTTCTCCCTCTTCTGTGATGAACGGGGGTATCTGAATCAATGTGAATACATTCTGCAACACGGCCACCGAAAGGGAGACCGAACAGGAACGGGGGTCATCTCTGTTTTCGGCTCACAAGCGAGATACAACCTCAGGGGTAAGTCGCTGAACTTAATTTTCTGTATGTTCTGTAAGTTGTGCATGCGTTGAAAGTCAATGCACGACCGACACAGACATCTAGTTTTTCGCCATCCGGGAATTGCATGCAACAACAAAACACTGACTAGTTACCTCTGGCATTGGACCTCTGTTCAAATGACTGACGGTAGTTAGCTATTTCTCGTTGTTTATCATTCCAGATCAGTTTCCTTTGCTGACGACGAAACGGGTTTTCTGGAAAGGAATTCTCGAAGAACTACTGTGGTTTATCAAAGTAAGAATAAAGCCATGTCCTCTGAAATAATGCACACTATTGTTGTAAGCTACAGACAACAATAACACCTGCTTGCACACTTGCAGACCATCTCCACTAGATCAGTGGTTCACAAACTGTCGGGGGTCGGCAGTCTGGCTTTCAATTTACTCTTGAAAGTTGTAATAGTATAATGCACAAGGTGCAATTTCTCTACACACCATGACAAAATGTGTATAATTGCAAGAAATAAGCTTTAAACCTACAAAATGATATCCTCCAACAAGAGGAGTGTGAACAGTGTGTCATGAACAGTGCTTGTGCCCATAGAAATAAACATGGGGTGCCAATGCTGGAAGGGGGGGCCTGAGTGAAAAGGTTTGGGGACCCCTGCACTAGATGGCGCTCCATACCCATACATGGGGCGGGTCTTGGTTCTGTGTGTGTTTGCTGTAGGGCTCAACAAATGCCAAGGAGCTCTCAGAGAAAGGGGTGAAGATTTGGGATGCAAACGGGTCCCGACAGTTCCTGGACAAGATGGGGTTCACAGACCGGGATGAGGGAGACTTGGGACCAGTGTATGGTTTCCAGTGGAGGCACTATGGTGCAGAATACAGCAATATGCACGCAGGTACGCCACACCCTGACGTGGTATTGTAGGATTATGTTATGAGTGTTTCAATCCTACAAATTTAACTAGTGCTTAATTATCATGGATAATACTTCCCTTATAGATTACACTGGACAAGGTGTGGACCAACTACAGAAAGTTATTGACACAATCAAGACCAATCCAGAAGACAGGAGAATCATCATGTGTGCGTGGAACCCCAAAGGTATCTGACAGTCTTATGATTTCACTGTGTATACACTTAACAGTCAATGTTGGTTTGTATTGATCACACACCTGTGCCTGTGTTGTACCCAGACCTGCCCCATATGGCGCTGCCCCCCTGCCATGCCCTGTGCCAGTTCTATGTAATTGACGGGGAGCTGTCGTGCCAGCTGTACCAGCGCTCGGGGGACATGGGCCTGGGAGTGCCATTCAACATCGCCAGCTATGCCCTCCTCACCTACATGATCGCCCACATCACAGGACTTGAGGTGGGGCAGACACCAGTTGAAATTCCCTACTCGCTAACACCCTCCCTGTCTATAATAAAAGTGTAGTAAAATAAGGTATTTCATTCCTGCCTTTCTCCCTCCAGCCTGGTGACTTGGTGCACACTCTGGGAGACGCTCACGTCTACATCAACCATGTCGAACCCCTCAGAGTGCAGGTAGGTTCATGACAGACACAGCAACTGAGATATACACACTGCAGTGACGGGTGTGTAAGGCTATGGCCACAGACTCATGAAAACAAATACGCATTCATCATTGCCTGTATTTGTCCATCAAAAGTTCAACTATTTTCGGACTAGTTGCAAAATGCACAAAGGCCTGCATATTGTGCGTTTGACGGACAGTCGTCCATTATCCGTCAACGGATTACTCCCATTGCAAAACCATTGGCTCAATCCATAATTTTCTGACATAAAATGTCCGGCCGCGGCCTAAACGTGATGACTCTTCCCTTACAGCTCCAGAGAGAGATTCGGCCCTTCCCCAAGCTGAAGATCCTCCGGACGGTGGAGAAAATAGATGACTTCCGTGCAGACGACTTTAAGATCGTTGACTACAATCCCCACCCCACCATCAAAATGCAGATGGCAGTTTAAATGGGCTTCAATTAACTACACTGAACAAAAATAAACGCAACATGCAACAATTTCAAAGATTTTACTGAGAAGCATAGTTCATGTAAGGAAATCGGTCAATTGAAAAAAATTCATTAGGCCATAATCTATGGATTTCACATGATTGGGAATATAGATATGCATCTATTGGTCACAGATACCTTTTAAACAAAAAAAGTAGGGGTGTAGCTCAACCACCCTTTATTTGCCTCATGCAGCGCGACACACCTCCTTCGCATTGAGTTAATCCGGCTGTTAATTGTGGCCTGTGGAATGTTGTCCCATTCTTCAATGGCTGTTCGAAGTTGCTGGATATTGGCGGGAACTGGAACAGTCGTACATGTCGATCCAGAGCATCCCAAACATGCTCAATGGGAGACGTCAGAGTATGCAAGCCATGGAAGTACTGGGACATTTCAGCTTCCAGGAATTGTGTACAGATCCTTGCGACATGGGGCCATGCATCATCATGCTGAAACATGAGGTAATGGCGGTGGGTGAATGGCATGTCAATGGCCTCAGGATCAGCTGTCCAGGTGGCTGGTCTCAGATGATCCCGCAGGTGAAGAAGCCAGATGTGGAGATCCTGGGCTGGAGTGGTTACACGTGGTCTGCGGCTGTGAGGCCACTTGGACATACTAACAAATTCTCTAAAATGAAGGAGGTGGCTTATGGTAGAGAAATGTACATTCAATTCTCTGGCAACAGCTCTGGTGGACGTTCCTGCAGTCAGCATGCCAATTGCACGCTCCCTCAACTTGACATCTGTGGCATTGTTGTGACAACTACACATTTTAGTGGCCGTTTGTGCACAGCACAAGGTGCACCTGTGTAATGATCAAGCTGTTTAATCAGCTTCTTGATATGCCACACCTGTCAGGTGGATGGATTATCTTGGCAAAGGAGAAATGCGCAGTAAAAAGGATGTAAACATTTGTGGACAAAATGAGAAAAAGCTTTGTACGTATGGAACATTTCTGGTATCTTTTATTTCAGCTCATGAAACATGGGACCAACACTTTACATGTTGCGTTTTATATTTCTGTTCAGTGTAATATCTGGGTGGAGGTTGTCCTTTTTGATTGAAATATTCAGTGTCTACCCGTTGCCTTTTTAGATTCAATTATGTGTATTTTATGGTTGTTCGTATCACAGGAATTTTGTAAATAAAGAATGTATACATTTAGTTAAAGCTTGATTATTGGCACAAACATTAGTAACATCCCTTTTAGAAAAATACAAAAGTGAAATCATTATTTAATCTTATTTTGTGCAATGATAACCAAATATAGGCATTTTTCAATGGTTACTTAAGAAAATAATCTTGTCTGGCAACTTTCTGTGCTTAGTTGAAAAATCAACTTTTCAACTGCCCCGGCTTCCTCCACTACACCGTACTCGTCACTGGCCCTGGAGCTTCTTCCACACTTGCCCCTGAGGGTACTGGTGTCTCTGCACTGACGACTGCAACATCTCACAGGAGTAGCCTGGATCCTGATGGAACAATGACCAACAGAAACCATGGGCAAGACTTAAAGATCCACAGCATTTCAATTAATGACCACAACACCAGATCATTATGATTAAAACGTACCTTGGGAGGCATGTAGTGGGCGTTCTGTATCACAACAGGACTTTTGAAGTGCTCATGGAGGTGGTCCACAAATTCACACATCCTGAGAATGATGAACAGATTTTATTTCAGCACCTGACCCCAGGTCAAATAATAATTACAGTTATAACCAAATGAAATTGAAATAATTATGGGGGTCATGGTTATATTGTATATTATGTCATTGTAGATTGAATGGTTTTGAATGATGGGCTGGGATGTCCATGTCCACTCACCGGTTGTCAAGACTGGCAGACACAGAGATGTAGTCAAAGAGAATCAGGTGCTGAACCAGCTCACACAGTCCAACACCTCCAGCATGAGGACACACAGGCACTGGGGAAATAGATTCAAAGATAAACATATAGCACGGGCACAGACACACACAGCTGGGCCCGTATTCATCAAGCGTCTGCTGATCTAGGATCAAGTCCCCCCGTCCATACAATCTTATCTACAAGGCAAAACTGATCCTAGATTAGCACTCCTATTCTGAGATGCTTTATGAATATGACCCTCTGATGTCTTACCCTTGAACTTGTGGGCCATGAGCAGCACGGCTAGGTTCTCGTTGACACTGCCAAGTCTACAGCTATCAATCTGGACAAACTGCAATGCTGACGCCTGGAGGAACTGCTTGAACATCACTCTATTATGGCACTGGAGTGGCCACAAGAACAATTTTCATCGCATATCAGTTAAACTGACTAAATACTGATAGCGCTAGTGTAAAACACTGAACAACACAATGAGTCAGAGTAACACAGTCAGTCCTAACCTGTTCTCCTGTGGCCACTCCAATGCCAAGCGGAGCCAAGGCCTGCAATGGGAGAACAGAAATGTGAAACTTAAGCAGAAACAAGCATCAAGGCTTGGAGAATAACCTTGTATACTGAATCCATGACTCTTTCTCAATGTGTCCTTCTGCAATTTCTCACATCCCATCTCCTTGCCTCCTTCTCAAAACCCATTGGAGAAGAAGGTCCAAGGGGAGGGACCTTGGACCTTCTCTAATAAAGTTGAAAAGGAGGCGAGGAAATAGAATGTGAGGAATCACAGAAAGACAAAACGAGAAAGAGCCCATGCCTCAGATCCTTCCCTCTCTCCCTCATCACCTTGGAGATGGCAGCATGCCCCAGGATATCGTCAGGGGAGGTGGGCTCTTCGATCCACAGGGGTTTGTACTCAGCCAGCCTGGTCACCCAGGTTATGGCCTCACCTACGTCCCACCTTTGGTTGGCATCAATCATCTGAAACAGAGAAGACAGTTGGCTGCAGAATGAATTGATCAAATCCTGTGCATGAGGAGGTTTACTGCATCCAATGGCATTACAGATTTACCAGTGTGTTGTTGGGTCCAATCATCTGCCGTATGAGACTGCACCGGCGAATGTCATCCTCTAGGTCAGCCCCCACCTTCACTTTGAACTTGGTCCATCCATCATTTAGTGCATCGGTGCACAGCTATAGTAAGATACAGAGAGATATACAGACTGACATACAGTGGGGTCCAAAATTATTGACATCCCAAGACATGCTAACCTCTCACCATTACCAATAACGGGAGGTTAGCGTGTCTTGGAGGTATGATATTTCACCCTCTAACTTTCTCACGATTCATTCAGGATTATATGTAATCATGGTAGCATCCACATTAATGTAGAAGTGTTTAGAAACATTCTCTTCTTATTTAAAATAAAAGTGACTCCAAAATGACAATACATTATTTACCATTCATTTCTATTGGGCAAAAGATAATCTGAAACAACAGAAACGAACTGCTAATGCATCCAACACGTTTATAGAGTCACAAGCTTGATGTAGTCATTGCATGCTAGGAATTTGCGACCAAATAGTAAACTTTGGACTCCTTTATTCATAAGAATCTTTAGGGGTGACCCCTACCTTTTTGAGAACAAAAAAGTATTACTTATTAAACTCTTCCCCCCCCCCCCTTTTTTTTTGCATACAATATAGCTCAGTATTTGAATTATTTATTTTATACAGTAATTATTGCTCATCTTTATTAAGGGTGTCAATCATTTAGGACCCCACAGGATACTGTTTCCCTATGGGTCCTGGTAAAACGTAGTGCCCTACATAGGGACTAGGGTGCCATTTGGTACTCGGACCAATGCACAGCATGTGTATGAGAGGAGACCTGTTTCAGCAGCTGGTCGGAGTATCCTAGCCAGGCACAGGAGGTGGTATAGGCAGGATAACCCTCCTTCAGCATCTGGTCCACTGAGAGGTCATACATTCACATCAATACAATTTATATTCCAATAAAGTATTTCAATAGAGGAAGATACATTTTTATAATTGCATACAGAGTATATTATGAGATCGTAAGCACTTCATACGTCTATGTGTTCATGGAGAAGCAATTACATCCACTAAACGCCACTTATCAAAGCCATTAAAGTCTCCTAGGCCCTTTAAGTGTGCCTACCTCTCTGCTGCTTCCCCATCTGAGCTTTCACAAGTATGTCTGAGAGAGAGAGAGAGAGAGAACAGATCAAAGATAATAGCTATTGGTTTTTGTAGACTACCTTGTGAACCTGTCAAACCAAGAGCGCAGATGGCCATTTCAGGCTAATAGAGGAACACATACTATGGACAGTGTTCAGTAAGACTTACCAAGGGCCTCCTGTTCAGTAAGGGCATCAGTGATATATCTGAAGTCAATGCATGAGATGAGCTTTCTGGGGTCCTGAGGCAAGAACACAAGCATGTACAGGCACGAGACATATAGTACTTCATCCTAAAATGTGTCTAATTACAGCACATTGCCCAAAGGCTAATTTGATCCTCCATTATGGAGGTATGGTGTAAGATGATGTACATATTACATTGTGTCATTCCGAACTTTATCCGGAACTTTATTCCAACATCGCACAAAATGGAATATGACGTTGCGGATAAAATTCGGAATGACAATTTCATTTGTACAACATCTAAAGACCTGCATCACTATACTGAGAGCGTTTCCGTTTCTAAAAGGATGTATTTGGAGCTTTTGTTCATGTTTTGTTCGAGCCCCCATACCGCAGAACGAGGATGTCAATCGCTGGTTTGGGTAAGTTTCTCTGTGTTGACACTTCTAGAACACGCCATTTACATCCAAAATACAGATTTGATTGTCAAAAGTAAACTTCTCCTTTAAGTTTGCAGCTTTACTCAAGAGTAGAGTTAAAAAGCTCTCCATATCAGCAACTTACCATGTCAACAAGCAGCTTCCACAGTGGCTGTTGACAAAAGGAGAACAACAGTCATTTCAGCAGTATCTCGACATATGAAATGTCTTGCTGGATTGTTTGGCATGCCTGGTCCACTAACATCCATAGCGTCGCTGTCTGATAAAAACTATAATTATAATTATAATAAAATAAAGCTATTTTGAATACATTTTCCCATGATATGTTCAGAGTACATTGAGGGGTTACTGCTTTTAATAAATGTAAAAAATAAAACGAGTTATGAGGTCCAGACAGCAACGATAGGTGAGGAGGCAATGTGGGCTCTGGTCAAAACTAGTGCACTATATTGGGGACAGGGTTCCATTTGGGAGGCAGAAATGTCTTACCTTGCCCTCGGATCGTGCCCAGAGGTCCCATACTGCATTCAGGACCGCCGCAGTGGCCAACTGAATGACTCCTTTCTCTGGTCCAATCTGGCACAAGACAGGGGGAAAATAGCTGCTTACACACATCTTTCAGTGAAGGTTAGTTGCTCAGTTTGGATTGATTAGGGTAGTTTGTGTTGGAGTGGCTGTGTGCACTCACCCATCGCATCTGCCCATCGCTGGTGAGGAGACGGTAAAATCCACGGAAGTCACTCACAATCTCCTCTAGAGATTTCCCCACAACTAGGGCTGACAAGGCTTCCACAGCACACACAACTGCACATTTTAAAGGGACACAAGTTACTCATTTGAAAACAGTACACAGTATTATCCTCAGACTGGCAAATAGGTTCACATGGGGACAACTAGCATATAATGCATAATCATTTAGCGATCTGGAGAAAAAAATCAAGTCAGCCTGCATATGTTCTGGTTGCACCTATGCATACAAAGACTGTATTGTGTTTACACATTACCACAAGATGTCGCTGTGAATAACATGTATTTAAGCTACTAAAGAAAATCCCACCAACTACAATACTAAAAAATACATACAAATGGTGAAGGTTGGATCAAGAATATTACCAATTTCTGTGCCTCTGCCCACAGTAAAAGTCAACCCATATCCTGGCATTCCTTGATCAGTTTCGATGACAACATAGGCGACGGAGTAGTCCGGGTCGGTGTGCTGAAAGAAGCAAAATGTATGTTTGCAATGTGCAATATTTTCCTATATGATCCATAGGTAGGAGAAAATGTGACATGAATAAAGCAAGTGCTGCAGCAATAACTTTTGTCTGCAACTTCTGCAAGAAAGCATTCATTGCATTGGTGCACGTACCATTGCGTCTGAACCATGTTGCTCCAAAGACGTTGGAAATCTGACATCGCTGACCGTCAACCTTATAATTTTTTGAGGCATTTTGCTCAAACTTTTTGACAGGGAAGTAGCCCACTAGTGTACTATCGCATGCTCAACAGGGAGTCCCGCCCACTGCGACCTGCGATTGGTTGAAATGCCTTTTTTGCGTAGGAAAAATGTGATTCTCACATGACTTTATGCAATCATAGTGGCTACAACCGGTTGAACCGGGTTAGAGGGGAGAATAAAAATGTGCAGTTCTTGAGGGCGGTCCTTCCTGGCGCCGTCTCCATTGTCCAAGGGCCGTGAGCTCCGCCCCGCCCGCCCCTCCCCTCCCCTCTACTCGCGACGTAAAAACAACATGGTAGTGGTAACAGACGGAGCTGGTTCACATTTGAAACGACAGGCTGTGGTCTATCTTGGTTTAGTTCTAAACATCTTTGCTTTTAACGAACCGAGCCGTGCTAGGCAGAATATTGTGAAGAGGGTATTCTATTAACTTCTACAAATAGCAAATAAATAACCAGGGTGCAAAGGCGGTGGTTGAAGGTGGAGGAAAAACGATGTCTAACAGACAGCTGTAGGATAAGGAGACGTATACTTGGATGGCGGAGGAGGAATGGAAGGATAAAGAGAGGCAGAGGAGGTCTAAGAGAGAGAGGGAGGAAGATTGTGAGCTTGAGTCGGGAAAATTTGCGGGGAAAAGGGAGAAGGTTTGATAGTAAATGTAAGCAAAGTGAGCTGACGACAGGGGGAGAAATGGAAGTGAATGAGGGTGAAGTATCGGAGGTGGTAGATGTGGTGAAGTTCTCGGAGCCAGAGGCTTGCACACAGGGTCAGGATAAAGATGAGTCTGTGACAGTAGGAGTGAAGTTTGTGGAAAAAGTGGACCCTTGCATTTTGGCTGATCAATTTGTGGTTTCAAGATGGGTGAAAAAAGCGTTGGGTAAAGTGGAATCGGTGAGGGTAACCAGAAGTGGTCTAGTGATAATTGTTTGTGTTTCTGTTGGGCAAAGGGAGAAGGCGCTCAGAGTTAAAGAAATGGGGGAAATAATTGTTTTGCTCTCAAGAAAAGGGCGCCATTGAAAGGAGTGATTACTTGGGTATCAGTAAATGTAAAAGTGGACCAACTGATGGGGAAGATTCCCGGTGTTTGTAATGCTCGTCGTTTGGTGCGACGCAAACAGGGTGGCGAGAGTGGGGAAACAGAAGAGTCATTGTCTGTTCTTTAGAGTTTTGAAGTTGAGTCTTTGCCTGACAAAGTTAAATTAGGATATATAAGTTATCCTGTACGAGCTTATGTGCCGAATACATTACGATGTTACAGATGTCAAACTTATGGGCATGTGGCAGCAGTATGTAGGAGGGAGGTTCCAAGGTTTGAGAAGTTTGCAGAAGGGCATGAAACAAAGGAAGGTGTAGGATTGGGGAAAGTAGTGGTATGTGCTAATTGTAGGGGTGGCCATGGGGCTGGGGATCAGAAATGTCCTGTGCGAGAGAAGCAGGTTGAGGTTTCCAGGGTAAGAGTAGTGAAGAAGTTGTCATATGCTGAGGCAGTGAAGAAAGTAGAGGAAAAGGGGTCAAGGGGAGGAGTGGTAAGAGTAGTAGATTTGTACCAGTACAGAGGGATAGGACAACAAGTGATGTTTCAGTAATATTGGATTTTTAGCATTTATAGCAATGGTTATTAATTGTACTGCAGGGATGGAACGTAAGTCGAAGAAAATTGAGGTTGTGGTGGCAGCTGCAGAGAGGTATTTGGGTGTGCGAGACTTGACATCAGAAGAGTTACAGAGTGTTAAGTGGTGATGTCCCATCATTTCAGGTTGAGGACATGAGGTAGGAATTAATATATTTAAATAGTGGAGAAGGATGGTGTTAATTATTAATAATAATTTTTAATTTGTGAGTGTAGTGTTAGATGGTAGGGTATTTATTTAATTTTATTTTTCAAGCAAAATATAAGGGAGTTTTACTCCAGTCTAGTAGGTGGTGGTAATGCAACAAATTGGATGCCAACCACCGTTAAACCTCATTGAAGAAGAAGAAGGCGGTCCTTCCTGACGTGAGTTATCTTCCACAGGAGAGAGAGGATAGCTGTTTTGATTGGGGTCTGAGCAAGCGAATCGAGGAATCCGGGAAAAAGGGAGTGCGCTTGTTTGAAATGGAAAAGGATCGCGGTAACTATTGATATAGAAGAACATCAAGACGAAGCAGCTGATTTACACGTGGGATGAGGGTGAAGTATCGGAGGTGGTAGGTGTGGTGAAGCCCGAGGCTTGCACCAAGGGTCAGGATAAAGATGAGTCTGTGACAGTAGGAGTGAAGTTTTGGGAAAATGTGGACCCTTGCCTTTTGGCTGATCCATTTGTGGTTTCAGGGTGGGTGAAAGCAGAGTTGGTTGCTGTGGAATCGTTGAGGGTAATCAGAAGTGGTGTGAGAAGTGTGCAGAAGTGCATGAGACAAAGGAATGTGTAGCATTGGGGAAAGTAGTGGTATGTGTTAATTGTAAGGGTGCCCATGGGGCTGGGGATCAGAAATGTCCCGTGCGAGAGAGGCAGGTTGTAGTTTCCAGGGTTAGAGTAGTGCAGAAGTTGTCATATGCTGAGGCAGTGAAGAAAGTAGAGGAAGATGGGTCAAGGGGGAGGGATCCTGAGAGGAGTGGTGAGAGTAGTAGATATGTACCAGTACAGAGGGATAAACCAATAAGTGATATGTTTTAGTAAGATTGGATTTTTGGCATTTATAGCAATGGTTATCAACTGTACTGCAGGAATGGAACGTAAGTCGCCGAAAATTGAGGTTGTGGTGGCAGCTGCAGAGAGGGATTTGCGTGTGCGAGACTTGACTCCAGAAGAGTTACACTGTGTGTTAAGTGGTGATGTCCCATCCTTTCAGACTGTTGGTCTGAAGTAGGACTACATAGATTCAAATAGTGGAGTATGGTATTTATAATTATTTTGTAAATTCTTTGTCAGTGTAGGGTTTGATGGTAGGGTATTAGTTCTTAAAAATGAAATAAAACAAACAAAGCTAAGTATAAGGGAGTAATACTCCAGTCTAGTAGGTGGTGGTAATGCAACATTTATTGGATGCCAACTGCTGTTAAACCTCATCGAAGAAGAAGAACCGGGTTAGAGGTTGGGGTGTCTAATGGAAACGCTGTAGGAGTCGGCAGGCACAGAGCCAGCTTACCGAGCGAGCGACTAGCTAAGGAAAAAGATGGCAGAAACGGATGATGAAACGGATGATGAAGTGGATTCTGAATCTAATGGCGGTAGAATCAAGGAGAATTGGAATATTGTCCAAAAGAATGGAAAACAGAGAAAAGTAGTGATGAGAATGACACTTCGTATCTTGTAGGAGTACGGTTTGTAAATGAGGAGCAGCTGATCGAATTACCAATCTTGAGGAATCCATTTGAGAGAGTGCTGGGTAGAGTGAAGGCTGTGAGGATCACGAGAGGCGGGCTTTTTTAGATTTTTTGTGCTTCTGCGGATCAGAAGAAAGTGTGTTGCGTCTCACCAGATTTGATCAGTTTGAAGTGTCGTGTGTGTCTCTTAGGAACAGGGCACCCCTCAAGGGGGTTATATCTGGCGTCTCTAGGGAAGTCGATATTGAAGAGATAAAAAATATTCCTGGAGTGATTGATGCATGTCGGATGAATCATGTGGGGAATGAAGAAAAAGTCTATCTGTTCTTTTGGTTTTTGATATGGAGTCTCTCCCTACTCAAGTGCAGTTAGGGTATGTTAACTACAGTCTGAGCATTTATCCCAAGACCAATGCAGTATGATCATTGTAAAGCTTTTGGTCATGTTTCAAGTGTTTGCAGAAGGGAGAAGCCGAGATGTCCAAGTTGTGGAAAATATCATATAATGTGTTATAAAAGTGATGAAAATGTGACATGTTGCAATTGTGGTGGGAACCATGAAGCTGTTAAAAGGGTTGAGGGTTTGAATGGTGCACCTGAAGAGTCCATGGTGGTGGATAGGCCTTCACTGCAGGCTGCAGGGGTTGCCTTTCACCAGCAGGATCCTGACATTTTTAAGGTTAAGAAGCTGGACTTTGTGGCCTTTAAAGCTATGGTGATTAATGGCACTACCAAGGTGGAGAGAAGGTCCAGGAAGATAGAAATCATTGTGGATGCGGCGGAGCGGTTCCTGGGGCTGAAAGACTTCTCGGCGATGGAGTTACATGGAATATTGTCACAAGCTGTACCACCCTCTCAGGCCCTAGAACCTGAGATGGGAGATTTGAAAGACGGAAGAAGTGGGAGTTTTGTTTTGTCAATGTACTATTTTTATTTGGGTAGATTAAGTTAGTTTCCCTATTACGTATGGATTTTCTTTTTACCTTGTTTTGGTTTCAACCCGTCCAGTTGGTGGGGGCAATACACCTTTTTGGGTTGTAGTCCGCCATAAAACCCACAGAAGAAGAACCGGGTTAGCGTTGATTGCATTCTATTTGAAACCGACTGCAGCGCAGATTACCGTTTAATTTGAGCAGGGCGCGCCTCCCTTATCGGCTACGCCAGGTCACGTGACGGGCCATAGCCCAGTTAAATCCGGGGCAGTTTAATAGAACTCAGTCAATGTAACTAGCAAAAATGAATTAATGCCAATAATATGAAACATTGTGACAAAGAAATTAAACATAGTGACAGCTCGTGATTCGACAACTGATATCAACTGCCTGTTGTCTGTATGAAACTAATGAATCTAGCTAATTCAACAACGAATACCACACATTTTAAAATCTGAAATGTTTAATTTTCCAACTGTACAAATTCCACAAATTAGCATCTAAACCATAATTTTTTCTACACCAACTTTATAACTTGCATTATAGTCTTTGATGTCTTAAACAAATGTGATAAACTGCCTGGTGTCTGTATGAAACTAATGAATCTAACGAATTCAACAACAAATACCACACATTAAAATCTGAAATGTTTAATTTTCCAACTGTTCAAATTCCACAAATTAGCATCTAAATCATAATTATTTCTCTTTTCACCAACTTTATAACTTGCATTCTAGTCTTTGATGTCCTTTTTTATTTATTTATAAAATTAGGATTTCACAATTTTGTACAAAGCCCTTCTATAAAACCCCAGCTGACCATGTGTTCTGCCCATCTATGCATAATCAAATGCAACACTGAATTGATGAGTTTAAAGAAAAACAAAGGAGCAAAATAACAACTGTAGATGTGACATGACACATTAAAAAGACCTTTGAGCTTCCTCCATGTTGCAGTCTTAAAATAACTGACTGTTCACTGGTTACGACTACTTTATTAAAAACAAATTGTCAGAATAAAATCCCATCCTCTTTGTATCTAGGCTGAAACTTTAGACTGAATGAAATCCATTCACACAAAATCACATGTAGACAACATAAACAGTTCAGGTGCTTTGGCAATATTTTCCCATAAAGGCAAAATTGTTACTTTTTGACCATTTTTAGAACTGAAAATGAAACACGTGAGGATGAGTCAAGTATAGAATCCAAAAGAGAAAGTTTGTTAAAGGACTTCTCCATGTATGTGAGAGAGAAGGCCAAGTCCTCTTTAACATAGGTGTGTAGAAGTTATTACTGGCATGTAATGGCCAAATCAGGTGGTCAAATTCTGGACCTAAGAGAGTGAACATTTAGTTTGTGTAGTGTAGTGCTATGATATGTGCAGAGACGAGCCACATTGGCATGTAGCTTAGTGATCTACAGGGCTGTTGGCTTTGCAAGGCGAGAGCTGAATATTCTCCCATCTCACAGTGGTACATTGCTCTGGGGTGAAGTTTCCCCTAGGTACAGATCTAGGATCAGCTTCCATTCCCATAAATGCTAAATTGAACCAAGATCAGTGTCTAGTGGCAACTTCATCCTACTGCTACATATGCAGAAAATGCTCTGTAGTGATCTTTAAAGAGGTTATTTAACTTGGCATAGCAATGGTCTGTCTGGGACACATAACATGATGGCCTTAGTGTTGTAAAAATGTCCAACTGAAGGACTCGAAGGGAAGGCTTCACATGAACCATGTCCATGATATGAATCATTCTTACAGTTACATAGAATAAAATCAACAAATAAAATAGAAAATGAGCAGACAAGACGGACCCACGCAATTCAACTGTCCCTGATCCGCGCCACTCAAGTCAATCATTCAGAAAAACACAGGAGAAAGAAAAGCATTTTCCGGTTGAGCTGATGAAATGTACTGAACACAGAACTGAATTATCCCGACTGAAATATTCCCACAGTACTTGACAATATTTTCGCCACTTACAGTACATCCTTCTCTCTCGTCCTCCGTTTTGAAGAGCTCTTATTCCAAGGGCCCCTACCCATCTCTCTCATGTGCCATTTTCACAGTTCAACAAAGATTTTAAAAACAACACAACAGAATGATTGGTCACTTTGAAAAAGAACATGGTCATTATAACCATGTGAGAAACTGAGGAATAAAAAAACCAAAAGGAACAAAAGGAGTAAAGTCATACAAACTAAGACCTGTAGTACCTGAAATAAAAAATTAAATGATCAGTGAAAATTAGTGTAAAAAAAAAAAACGCACATTTATTTTTATCATCAAGGACAGCAGTGGTTTGTGCAACTCGATAACCAAGCTTCCAGTTGCCTTTTCTGAAGCACATTATTCATAGCGTTTAGTCTCCATGCGTCTGTATCGGAGTCTGCTCCTCCTGGGTGGAGGGATACTTTGCATGGTGAACGGGTCAAGGGCTGCGTTGCGGCCAGGCCTGACTATAGGTTATCCCCGGGCTGGTACTGTGGCTCCGTGGCTGTGAAGTAGTCCTCCAGGAAGGACTGGATGTATTCGAAGGTGGGCCTCTCGTCGGGGTCCTTCTTCCAGCACAGCTTCATCATCTCGTGGAGGGAGTCGGGACAGCCCTGGGGGCACGGCATACGGTAACCCCGCTCCACCTGCTCCAGGACCTCCCTGTTCACCATGCCTGGGTGGAGAGAGAGAGAGCGAAATGGAAAGAGGTAAATAAGAGAGCGGGGCTCAGTCTGTTTAGTGCCCATTACATTAACTGTGCAGTCAACCGTATCAGTTAGGTCACACAATAAAATCAAGATTATCCACAACAAAACTAGGTCTGTGATCTAATTCCATTGAGAATTCGCTCCAATCGCTTCACTAGACTATTACACCCCCCTCCTCCCCCTCAAAAAGCATAAATAAAAAGGGGGCCTGAAACAGGGGTTGGAACCGGTTCAGGGAACAGAACCGAAAAATAATGATGGAAGTGATCTATACTGTTCCGGAACAGAACCATCATTTTAAAAGCATGGGAACCGGTTAATAACGTTATTTTACGTTACTGGCTACACGCCTACACAAAGCCCTCACTGTCAATCAGAAACGTATTCCAGTGTCTGCCTGCCAGCTGGAAATCTTTGCCAGTGCATGTAGGCTTCCTGCCCCTCCCCTTCCGAAGCATAGTCTACTGTAGCCTGATGATGTTACAAGCGTGATTCAGAAATTAGGGAGAGAGAGTTTTAATTATAGAAGAATGGATTAACTTTTTTAATGCTAGCTAAGGATACTATAGTTATCACGTTTCACATTGGATCTATTAACTACAAAAAGGTAAGACTTGTTTTCATTTAAATTCTGGTGCCGCTCTGCACACACAAGCTTCTTAGCTAGCTAGCTAGCTCTGGTCCAACATTAAGCCAACTCTCTGAAGTTCAAAGACATTCAAAGTTCCTTCATACTGTAGAAGCCGCTCCTCCGTAGATATCATTCTGTGGGCCTAATTCAGATAATGAATGTCATAACAACAAGATGCCAAGCCTCTTCCTCTACCCTCTCTCCCCACCTGCAAAATTTCAGTCGCATCCTGCGCCCTACACTTGTCTGTACAATGCATGTAAATAGTTTGCCCACTCCATAGCAAACTGCTCTATCTGCACTGATTGGTGAAGTAATTTTTATGTCGAGCTAAATGTAACAAAACGGTTGATTTCAGAGGTTTAAAAAGGAACAGAAGGGAACGATATAAGCCATTATTTTTATTGGGGTTCAAACCGGTTCAGAACTTTATTTTGCTGGTCGGAACAGTGTAACGGAACAAAAATAATAATGGTGCTGTTCAGAACGAAACGATTGGAAAATAATTTCGGTTCCAACGCCTGGCCTGAAGGTTAGTGTCTGTGTGTGTCAGCGTTTCAGAGCATCCATCCTCTCTCTTGCGCTCTCCCCAGAGCCCGATCAGTCTGGGACAGATGGTTCTAAACAAGAGTGGTGTTCAATCTCCGGATCAGATCCCACCAGATGGTCTCCTCTAATCTCAGCCAGCTTGTGTGTGTGTGTGTGTTTACTCCGCAGAGACAAAAACAGCAATCACAGACAGTGTCACCCCTGGCCCACTTCCTAGGACAGTATTAACTAGTCTAGGCTATAAGACTGGTGACGGATCACCTTTCACCAAATTAGTCACTTCCTTGTTGACATTGCGCTGGCATCTACCTCTGACTACTCCTCCTGGTTACACAAGAAATCTGCTTCCCAGCTTTAGGATTCATACAATTGACATATCTTAACCAGATAGACAGCCTCACAGACTGCCATTGTTGTTATGGAACTCCGTCACAAATGGCACTCTAATCCCTACATAGTGCCCATTCCCTATAAGCTCTAGTCAAAGGAAGTGCACTATATAGGGAATAGGGTGCCATGTAGGACTCAAACATGGTTTTTGATTTTGTCTGTGTTCTCACCTGGGTAGGGAACCCTGCCCTTGGTGACCAGTTCGGTGAGTAAGATGCCGAAGGACCAGCCGTCTGACTTGATAGTGAAGCGGCCGTACAGGGCAGCCTCAGGAGCCGTCCACTTGATTGGGAACTTGGCCCCTAAAAACCAGAGCAGGAGGGGAAGAGATAAAAGAAGAGGGGGAGGGAGAAAGAGAGAGAGAGAAAGAAGAGAGGCAGAACATTAACTTCCACTAGGGGTCATCAGAGGTCATTCAGCTGTGCCATAACGACTGAGAAGTGACCAATATCACAGTTCACACTCAAGTCTGCCATAACAATTACACTATTGACCTCTGTAACAAAATGAATCATAGCTTCTTTTTTTTTAACGGTTGAAGTGTGATCTGGTTGCAAGGAAATGGATCGAAACATAATTAGAAAAAATATAGCACAGCAGGGTGAAAAATCCAAAGTCACATTCCAAAAGGTTTGAGGTTTATGAGTGTTGTTGAGTGGAAAAAGGAGTGTTAGTGTCAAACGCCTGTTTCTCTGCTGAAACCATTGGGCTTCAATGGTTAAGCAGCAGGCAGCTTGAGAGAGTTTACTCACCTCAACTAATCAGAGTGGATATGACCATCTGCTTTCCGCCATTAGCCTAATTTACCATGGTAGGAAATAGGGTTGAATATTTTCCCGGTATTTTACAAAATGTTCAATTCCGAGAATAAATCACTTTTCTCCCGGGTAACCCGGTATTTCCCGCCAAAACAGGAACAGGAAGTGTCATTCAAGCCCTGTGTAGCTCAGTTGGTAGAGCATGGCACTTGCAACACCAGGGTTTTGGGTTCGATTCCCACGGGGGGCCAGTATTAAAATGTATGCACTCACTTAACTGTAAGTCGCTCTGGATAAGAGCGTCTGCTAAATGACTAAAATGTAAAGCATATAAATATATGTCTGGATTTGATTAGAGCTTTGATCAGCATGATAATTCAAACCTGATGCTAGCGGAGCATGAAGAGCCATATATTAAATACATTTTATGAGCCCTAAATTAACGACATTTAATGAGCCGAAGCTCAAAAAAGCCCAAATGATTGTGCTGTTATCCTTATACATTTGATATAGGCTACTGCACATTACGCACAATAGATAAACATAAAAGCCCATAGATGTAGCTAGCTATATGCTCTCTTGGGTAAATAAATGAAACTAGCTCCAGAAGGCTAATCTTTTTGAGTGTGAACTATATTACTGTACTGTATTGTATTATATGGACTGGAATTACGCACATCGTTCAAACCATGATAAAGCAGAAGAGAACATGCGATTCTGGTGCAGCACACGCGGCCTACAAAGTTATAAGTATAGGCTAGCAAAGTTGATTTAATTTTTTTTATTTAATATGGCCTATTTGTATAATTAGTAGGCTGACGCATATACAGTGGAGAAAAAAAAGTATTTAGTCATCCACCAATTGTGCATGTTCTCCCACTTAAAAAGATGAGAGGTCTGTAATTTTCAACAAAAAAAAATCCAGAAAATCACATTGTAGGATTTTTATTGAATTTATTTGCAAACTATGGTGGAAAATAAGTATTTGGTCACCTACAAACAAGCAAGATTTCTGACTCTCAAAGACCTGTAACTTCTTATTTAAGAGGCTCCTCTGTCCTCCACTCGTTACCTGTATTAATGGCACCTGTTTGAACTTGTTATCAGTATAAAAGACACCTGTCCACAACCTCAAACAGTCACACTCCAAACTCCACTATGGCCAAGACCAAAGAGCTGTCAAAGGACACCAGAAACAAAATTGTAGACCTGCACCAGGCTGGGAAGACTGAATCTGCAATAGGTAAGCAGCTTGGTTTGAAGAAATCAACTGTGGGAGCAATTATTAGGAAATGGAAGACATACAAGACCACTGATAATCTCCCTCGATCTGGGGCTCCACGCAAGATCTCACCCCGTGGGGTCAAAATGATCACAAGAACGGTGAGCAAAAATCCCAGAACCACACGGGGGGACCTAGTGAATGACCTGCAGAGAGCTGGGACCAAAGTAACAAAGCCTACCATCAGTAACACACTACGCCACCAGGGACTCAAATCCTGCAGTGCCAGACGTGTCCCCCTGCTTAAGCCAGTACATGTCCAGGCCCGTCTGAAGTTTGCTAGAGTGCATTTGGATGATCCAGAAGAGGATTGGGAGAATGTCATATGGTCAGATGAAACCAAAATATAACTTTTTGGTAAAAACTCAACTCGTCGTGTTTGGAGGACAAAGAATGCTGAGTTGCATCCAAAGAACACCATACCTACTGTGAAGCATGGGGGTGGAAACATCATGCTTTGGGGCTGTTTTTCTGCAAAGGGACCAGGACGACTGATCCGTGTAAAGGAAAGAATGAATGGGGCCATGTATCGTGAGATTTCGAGTGAAAACCTCCTTCCATCAGCAAGGGCATTGAAGATGAAACGTGGCTGGGTCTTTCAGCATGACAATGATCCCAAACACACCGCCCGGGCAACGAAGGAATGGCTACGTAAGAAGCATTTCAAGGTCCTGGAGTGGCCTAGCCAGTCTCCAGATCTCAACCCCATAGAAAATCTTTGGAGGGAGTTGAAAGTCTGTGTTGCCCAGCGACAGCCCCAAAACATCACTGCTCTAGAGGAGATCTGCATGGAGGAATGGGCCAAAATACCAGCAACAGTGTGTGAAAACCTTGTGAAGACTTACAGAAAACGTTTGACCTGTGTCATTGCCAACAAAGGGTATATAACAAAGTATTGAGAAACTTTTGTTATTGACCAAATACTTATTTTCCACCATAATTTGCAAATAAATTCATTAAAAATCCTACAATGTGATTTTCTGGAATTTTTTTTCTCATTTTGTCTGTCATAGTTGACGTGTACCTATGATGAAAATTACAGGCCTCTCTCATCTTTTTAAGTGGGAGAACTTGCACAATTGGTGGCTGACTAAATACTTTTTTCCCCCACTGTATACCTGTCATAATATTTCCCCTACTGTTATTAGCCTACCTCCTCTTTCTCTCTCCATTGTTGCTTCAGTCCGTCCTCGCTTTCAACAGTTAAATGAAATAAGTTGTTGTCCTCATCTTCATCATTCTAATGACATCCTTGAATAATATAGGACTATAATTAAATGCAGAAGGCTTTCACTTCTCTTCACGAAGATTGATTGAATGGTTATGGGTCTGAATAAATAACTGCTATAACCTACCACCATCGCGTGTTCGCTCTTCTTTCAAACTACCCGTGAGTTCTATTGGATGCTGTATTTAACATTCAGCAAAAAAGAGCTTGCGTCCCTCTTCGAATAGTCTATTGGTATAAGAAATAAGACTATTCTAATCTAGCTTTTCCTGCATGGGACTCCAAGAGCTAAGGAGCGTTTTTAGGAGAGGCCAGCAGAGCACAGGTGCTTGCGTATTGCGCATAACCCATCATTAATTAGCTAAATATAAGGCTAATACTGCATTTAACTTATTACCTGAAAGAGGTAGACTAGGACATCAATATAAATACACACATATATACAGTGAGGGAAAAAAGTATTTGATCCGCTGCTGATTTTGTACGCTTGCCCACTGACAAAGACATGATCAGTCTATAATTTAAATGGTAGGTTTTATTTGAACAGTGAGACAGAATAACAACAACAAAATCCAGAAAAACGCATGTCAAAAATGTTATAAATTGATTTGCATTTTAATGAGGGAAATAAGTATTTGACCCCTGTGCAAAACATTACTTAGTACTTGGTGGCAAAACCCTTGTTGGCAATCACAGAGGTCAGATGTTTCTTGTAGTTGGCCACCAGGTTTGCACACATCTCAGGAGGAATTTTGTTCCACTCCTCTTTGCAGATCTTCTCCAAGTCATTAAGGTTTCGAGGCTGACGTTTGGCAACTCGAACCTTCAGCTCCCTCCACAGATTTTCTATGGGATTAAGGTCTGGAGACTGGCTAGGCCACTCCAGGACCTTAATGTGCTTCTTCTTGAGCCACTCCTTTGTTGCCTTGGCCGTGTGTTTTGGGTTATTTCATAGTTTTGATGTCTTCACTTTTATTCTACAATGTAGAAAATAGTAAAAAATAAAGAAAAATCCTTGAATGAGTAGGTGAGTCCAAACTTTTGACTGGTACTATATATATATATATATATCTTTGTTTAATGGAAAAATACTCCACTCTGAACTTAAACGACTTAAACCAGGTAGAAAGTGTGTAGAAATGATAATGAACTTACATTTAATTTAATATCTGAATTTTTTTTCTTTAAATCACAGTATTTCCAATATAGTGAGTTTATTAACAATCTTCATCAAGAATATTGGCAAATTTTCATTATTGACAATGAAAGAGGTGGCAATGTTGTTCCCTTGCCATATAAATGCTGCATTTACTATTAGTATAGCATTAAAAATAGTTTTACAGATTGTATTTTGGCAATTATTTTCCAGAGGCAGAACCAGTTGAGAACCAATGCTCTAGAGGAATACCAGTCATTACCTTTGAAATCCATGAATGGAAGTGCACAGGTCAGGGCAAAGGAGAGATTATTGGGACGCAACAAGGGACTCTAAGCCTTGTGTCCCTAGGTCCCGGCTGTCTGTCCCGGAGCTCTACTTGCCTTGCCTCTTTCCACCCGTACACACCTCGACGAATGGGATTTTAAACCCTAAGCCCCTCTGTCCCATCTCTCGGTGCTACGGTTTCACATCATACCGTGCTTCTCTCACCCTGAGCGGCGCAGTGGTCTAAGGCACTGCATCGCAGTGCTAACTGTGCCACTAGAGATCCTGGTTCGAATCCAGGCTCTGTCGCAGCCGGCCGCGACCGGGAGACTCATGGGCGGCGCACAATTGGCCCAGCGTCGTCCAGGGTAGGGGAGGGAATGGCCGGCAGGGATGTAGCTCAGTTGATAGAGCATGGCGTTTGCAACGCCAGGGTTGTGGGTTCGATTCCCACGGGGGGCCAGTATAAAACAAAAAAATATGTATTCACTAACTGTAAGTCGCTCTGGATAAGAGCGTCTGCTAAATGACTAAAATGCAAATGTAAATGGATATACGGTATTATTGGTTTGGTACACAAGGGGGCGCCATAACAAAAGCAAAAAAGCCTGTTGGGTGTCTATTACCAGAATGCAAACAAAATTACCACAAGTAATTGCGAATTTCCATCAAGGCCACTAGCTAAATATGCTAACGAGTGCAAACGAAAATAAACGAACTGCAAAGACAGGAAATCCAGCTCATAAAAGTTATACATATATAGGTAGGAGCTACCGAATGTCATTTTTGTTGAGTTTGGACATTTATAAGCGAAAATGTGAACGAGAGACTTTGTGCAAATGAACAAAGTTTTGACGCATGCAGTACTGGCTCTCCAGCAGCATGTCTACAAGCTGTGTCTGTGTGGAGTCTGGAGTCACTAGGGCAACGGGCCGGCCTGCTCTGCTCGGAGAAGAGGGGGGGAGGAGCAGACCACCAAGAACAGAGAGGAGAAGAAACTCAAGGAAATCAAGATACCAGTAGCAGCTGTACAAATAACTCATCCAAAGGGCTTTGCCTTCTCAAACACGGCAGAAAGCGAACACAATATGATGCCCCGTCACCTCATTCATTCAGCCACTTACTTAGATAGCAAGGGGTCGTGTAAACTCATAATTATGCGTTTTTCACACAGGAAAAAGAAGATGAAACGCATAAGAAATATCTTGCTGCGTTTTGTAAACACAGATCTAAAATGCTTTATGTTCGGCATCAGACTAATTTTCTGCTTCAGTTGCACTTCTAAACTCAGATGAAAATTCACAAACGGGCATTCTACACTGCTCAAAAAAATAAAGGGAACACTAAAATAACACATCCTAGATCTGAATGAATGAAATAATCTTATTAAATACTTTTTTCTTTACATAGTTGATTGTGCTGACAACAAAATCACACAAAAATTATCAATGGAAATCTAATTTATCAACCCATGGAGGTCTGGATTTGGAGTCACCCTCAAAATTAAAGTAGAAAACCACACTACAGGCTGATCCAACTTTGATGTAATGTCCTTAAAACAAGTCAAAATGAGGCTCAGTAGTGTGTGTGGCCTCCACGTGCCTGTATGACCTCCCTACAACGCCTGGGCATGCTCCTGATGAGGTGGCGGATGGTCTCCTGAGGGATCTCCTCCCAGACCTGGACTAAAGCATCCGCCAACTCCTGGACAGTCTGTGGTGCAACGTGGTGTTGGTGGATGGAGCGAGACATGATGTCCCAGATGTGCTCAATTGGATTCAGGTCTGGGGAACGGGCGGGCCAGTCCATAGCATTAATGCCTTCCTCTTGCAGGAACTGCTGACACACTCCAGCCACATGAGGTCTAGCATTGTCTTGCATTAGGAGGAACCCAGGGCCAACCGCACCAGCATATGGTCTCACAAGGGGTCTGAGGATCTCATCTCGGTACCTAATGGCAGTCAGGCTACCTCTGGCGAGCACATGGAGGGCTGTGCGGCCCCCCAAAGAAATGCCACCCCACACCATGACTGACCCACCGCCAAACCGGTCATGCTGGAGGATGTTGCAGGCAGCAGAACGTTCTCCACGGCGTCTCCAGACTCTGTCACGTCTGTCACGTGCTCAGTGTGAACCTGCTTTCATCTGTGAAGAGCACAGGGCGCCAGTGGCGAATTTGCCAATCTTGGTGTTCTCTGGCAAATGCCAAACGTCCTGCACGGTGTTAGGCTGTAAGCACAACCCCCACCTGTGGACGTCGGGCCCTCATACCACCCTCATGGAGTCTGTTTCTGACCGTTTGAGCAGACACATGCACATTTGTGGCCTGCTGGAGGTCATTTTGCAGGGCTCTGGCAGTGCTCCTCCTGCTCCTCCTTGCACAAAGGCGGAGGTAGCAGTCCTGCTGCTGGGTTGTTGCCCTCCTACGGCCTCCTCCACATCTCCTGATGTACTGGCCTGTCTCCTGGTAGCGCCTCCATGCTCTGGACACTACGCTGACAGACACAGCAAACCTTCTTGCCACAGCTCGCATTGATGTGCCATCCTGGATGACCTGCACTACCTGAGCCACTTGTGTGGGTTGTAGACTCCGTCTCATGCTACCACTAGAGTGAAAGCACCGCCATCATTCAAAAGTGACCAAAACATCAGCCAGAAAGCATAGGAACTGAGAAGTGGTCTGTGGTCACCACCTGCAAAACCAGTCCTTTATTGGGGGTGTCTTGCTAATTGCCTATAATTTCCACCTGTTGTCTATTCCATTTGCACAACAGCATGTGAAATTTATTGTCAATCAGTGTTGCTTCCTAAGTGGACAGTTTGATTTCACAGAAGTGTGATTGACTTGGAGTTACATTGTGTTGTTTAAGTGTTCCCTTTATTTTTTTGAGCAGTGTATTTAGCAGACAGCGCTATGACTGATGTGTAGCTACTTTTCTCCGGCACTCTTCTCAGTATAGCCAGCCTACTTTTCTCTGGTAAAATGCAAGATTCACTTTAAGAAAAACATTAGGAAATGCAGCTGGCTACATTCTTTTCTATGACAGGCCTACACATTAGAAATATGATGGCCATGTATAGTTTTTGCTTTGTCATTGTAAGCTCATTTACTTGAGTGGCTGCCAGCCAAATAGCGTTGCACTTCTGTTGTCATCTGATGAAAGTGAAGCTATTTTCTGTGTTGCACTAATGTATTTTCATGTCTCTGATGACTCTATTGAAGCAGAAATACACTTGACTTTCAATATAAAATGCAACCCCTGTCAATACACAGCTGGACTCACCTGCTCCTGCTTTCTCCTGTTGTGCTATTTACAAACAAACACGTGACTGACTCAACTGTGCTGGTGAAATAAGTAAGCTTCATTATGGAAAATAATGTGACAGGTGAAATAAGAATGCATTGCACAAGTTGACTGCAGGTATTTACCTGAAAAATAACTACAAATATTACAATGTATTGAAAATCTTCAAATAAATAGTTTAACCGTATTGACGGTATTGAAAAAACATCCCGTAGCCATTTCCAAATACCCCGGTATACGGTATACCGCCCAATCCTACTCTGTCCTCTACTAACCTTGCCTAGCTGTGTACTCGTTGTCCTCGATCAGCCTGGCCAGACCAAAGTCGGCGATCTTGCACACCAAGTTGTCCGCGACCAGGATGTTAGCGGCGCGCAGGTCCCTGTGGATGTAGTTCATCCTCTCGATGAAAGCCATTCCGTCAGCGATCTGAAGAAAACAAGCAGAATGGTTTAACACTCCATTTTATCACTGATGCCCACGTTGATATTTGCTGTGATGCACTCAAAGCGGAGCAGCCCGTCTTCGGTTAAATCCTAAATTACACCCTAATCCCTATTTAGTGCACTACTCTGTTCACACAGGAGGGAGGAATATGGTGACGGAGATAAGAATAAATGATTTTTTCTTGTACTACTTGCAATCAAAAAGAGGCCAAATGTATCCTTAGGTGGAGATACTGAGGGGTGAGGCACTTGGAAACATACATGGTAGTTTACTGAGAGGCTGACTTTTGACTTACCTGTGCAGCCATATCTACAAGCAAGGGAAGCTTGAGGAATTTACCATCTCCCTCCTTCAGGAAATCCAGCAAACTTCCTACAATTACAAAATCAGCAACACATGACAGTTACTGTACCAGAGAGAGAGTGCTGCAAATGTTGCCAACAGCGCGGCAACAAACCACCACAGAAATAGTGGCTTAAGACTTCTTAAATACGACTTCTTAAATATTCCCTTGGTATTGATGAAGCTAGCTGCTTGTGTCTATGTTTGGTACATGGCTCTTAATGACATCTAGGATGAGCCCCAAATGACACCTTATTAACCTATATAGTGCACTACTTTTGCCCAGAGACCTATGGGGCCCTGGTGACTGGTCAAAACTAGTACACTATATAGGGAATAGGGTGTCATTTGGGACACAGATATCACGATTTCCTCAGTGTGAGAGGAAACCAGGATTAGAGTTTCAGGGGACACCAATGGGATAAACACACACTCTCCTGTATGAGTTAGGCTAATCTACACACACACCAATGCAATATAATTCAGAACACACACACACACACACACACACACACACACACAGGGGTCACTGAGTCCATTTACAGGGATACGTCATTAGTGTTCAATCACTAATTAAAAAGAAACAGGGAGACGCATTGCAGTCAAGAAAGATGAAAGCTCGCCACAAAACTGCTGCAGTTTTCAATTAAAGATCTCTGCTCCGGGCCTCCAAAACCCACATGGGATTTCCAAGGACTTTCAAACTGTAGGGTATGTTAATTAAAACGGCCATAACATTTACATTTTTTTTCCTTTAAGGAAATTGGCCGGGGTACTTCTAATCGGATGATGTGTGTGTTGTGGCGTAACATCTAAAACTTCGGATTCCAGACTTTCTCCCCCAGGCGTGTGTGTGTGTAAGGAACCTTCTGGAGAGAGGCTTTAGCTATAACTTTCTAATTACACATCTAAAATCAGCCGTAGATCTACGTCTCAACACCATGCTGCCGGTCACACACACGTCACTGCATCTGTGTGTGTCATGAACATGTGTACCTGCTACCTAGCCATGTCTGTTGGCTTGTTCCACATTGTTGCCGACGTGAAGCATTTTGGGTCAAATGTGACCGACTGACTGATCCACAAATAATAAGGAGTAGTTATTTATGATGCAAGGTAATTTGTAGATCAGCCAGTCAGCAGTCGCCTGCAATGTCGAACAAGCCCTCCGACTACTGCCCCTACGCAGATGGGTTATGCGATGCATGCATATGTGCCTTTATGCATGCGTGAGTCATAAACATGGGTGCGTTTAGTCATGTACTTTGTAACTATGTAGATGGATTTCCATGTCACGTGTGTGTGTGTGCATTAATATGCGTGTGATTTATATGCGTCTGCTATACGTGCGTATGACGATGTGTACCTTTGGCCATGTACTCAGTGACGATGTAGATGGGTTCCTCAGACACCACGGCGTAGAGGGGCACCAGCTTGTCGTGCCTCAGCTTCTTCATGATCTGGGCCTCCTGGAGGAAGGCCTCGGGGGACATGGTGCCTGGCTTCAGGGTCTTAATCGCCACCTTGGTGGTGCCGTTCCACGTGCCTGAATAGAATGACACATTTTGAGTAAGTCGAGTCATGATGCTACCTCTTATTGTACTAGAAAGACAATGGTGTAAACAGGAGTAAACAAATGGTCATTTCCAACACAGTACACATTATGTATGTGTACCAAATTGCACACTATTCCCTATACAGCCTGGTCAAAAGTAGTGCACTACATAGGGATTAGGGTAAAATTTGGGATGCAACCTGTGACATGATACAGTACGGCTACTGTTTATAGAGTTATACAGAGTGTCATAGGTACAATGTGATAAACGGGGTGTACTTGGGGTACATCGAGGAAAAAACACATGAAGTTATGAGCTGTAGCTGAAAGGACTTGAGTCCCTGAAGGAGCGGATGCTACTGTGACAGAGCGAGTCTTCACTTATGTGCAGATATGGGATATACAAACAAATATATATATATTTTTTTTTGTCCTATCATGATGGAACGGTGCCAACCCTATATCCTAGACACCCACCTGAGTGACCCACCCACTAAGGAGAAATCCTTTTCCATTTTATAGGCCTGCTGCAAGTAGCCTATGCAGCCATGACAGAAAGGTGAATGCGGTCAGGGTAGGTCCAAGAGCCAAAGGCCCCAGATGGGATTTTCTCAAAGCTGCTAATGAGTATATTGACGACCTCGTGCCTAGCCGGTGGGAATTCCGGTGGAGTACCCCCACCCAAGTAGTGGCAGTGCTGGCAACACTGGCTGCAGTAACCCATGGGGAGGGGGTCACACTCGGACAATCAGAGAGGGGGCATATTATTGTGGCCCTGGCGGAACAGAATAATCAAACGGTCTGACTGCACAGACGTGCTTGGAAAGATGGGTCACAATGGGGGACTAGCGTGTGTGGGTGCTGGGGGGAAAGGGGGTATCCGAGCTCCATCAGATAGGACTAGATATTGGTTAATCAAATCTTCCCATTCCTGCTCAATTTGGCATGCCTTCTTAAACAGACAAACTTTATACGCATTCACACATCAAGTCTTCTCTTGAGTTGGGCTCGGTGATGGAACAACTGCTGAACATTTGAGCGTGTGTGTGTGCGTGTGTGTGTGTGTGTGGGGGGGGGGGTGCTAAATTAAGTTATGCAAGATTTTTTTATATCTAAATATATCTTTTTTTAAATAACTAGATGCAGTACAACTGAGGCGAAGGCGTTCAAAATGATGTTGGCTGTTGGCTGCGGATCTGGTTCTGTACTGTAGCTGGCACCATGTGCTCTTTTTAAAGATGGGCCCCTAGCTCTCTCTTAAAGGCCCTAGGATCCATGTGTATAGGGGTGGTCACTGGAACTACAACCCAACTTGGAATGGGGGGAGGTGTTAGCGGGTGGAATATTGGAGGACAATTTGAGGTTTACTTAGTCGCAGCTACAGTATGCTTAACAGTGCAAATATTATGGTACAGACATTAAATTATCATGGTACTTCTTAATGGTAAGTTCACAAACATATTATGGTAAGTATAATCAAAACTTGTATCTCGTTATGGTAAGTGGTAAAATAAGTATAGCTAGTTATAATTGTAATGGCTTAGCAGATAATAAGAAAATACAATCAGTCTTTACCTGGCTAAAAGAGAAGGAATATGTTATCTATTGTTTACTGGAAACTCATTCTACACCTTTAGTTGAAGTTGTATGGAAAAAGGACTTGGGGGGTGAAATATACTAGATGTTGGAACATTGCTGCGGGGACATGCTTCCATTCAGCCACAAGAGCATTAGTGAGGTCGGGCACTGATTTTGATCGATTAGACCTGGCACACAGTCGGCGTTCCAATTCATCCCAAAGGTGTACGATGGGGTTGAGGTCAGGGCTCTGTGCAGGCCAGTCAAGTTCTTCCACACCGATCTCAACAAACAATTTCTGTATGGACCTCGCTTTGTGCATTGGGGCATTGTCATGCTGAAACAGGAAAGGGCCTTCCCCAAACTGTTGCCACAAACTTGGAAGCACAGAATCGTCTAGAATGTAATTGTATGCTGTATCTTTAAGATTTCCCTTCACTGGAACTAAGGGGCCTAGCCCGAACCATGAAAAACAGCCCCAGACCATTATTCCTCCTCCACTAAACTTTACAGTTAGCACTATGCATTCGGGCAGGTAGCATTCTCCTGGCATCCGCCAAACCCAGATTCGTCCGTCGGACTGCCAGATGGTGAAGTGTGATTCACCACTCTAGAGAACACGTTTCCACTGCTCCAGAGTCCAACGGCGGCGAGCTTTACACCACTCCAGCCAACGCTTGGCATTGCGCATGGTGATCTTAGGCTTGTGTGCGGCTGCTCGGCCATGGAAACCCATTTCATGAAGCTCCCGACGAACAGTTCTTGTGCTGACGTTGCTTCCAGAGGCAGTTTGGAACTCAGTAGTGAGTGTCGCAACCGAGGACAGACGATTTTTACACACTACACGCTTCAGCACTCGGCGGTCCCGTTCTGTGAGCTTGCGTGGCCTACCACTTCGCGGCTGAGCCGTTGTTGCTCCTAGAAGTTTCCACTTCACAATAACAGCACTTACAGTTGACCGGGGCAGCTCTAGCAGGGCAGAATTTTGACGAACTGACTTGTTGGAAAGGTGGCATCCTATGATGGTACCACGTTGAAAGTCACTGAGCTCTTCTGTAAGACCATTCTACTACCAATGTTTGTCTATGGAGATTGCATGGCTGTGTGCTCGATTTTATACATCTGTCAGCAACGGGTGTGGCTGAAATAGCCGAATCCACTAATTTGAAGGGGTGTCCACATACTTTTGTAAATATAGTGTACCTCAATGGACCGTAAAGGAAATCACACTACAAACTATCACCCTCATGCACTTAAAGAAATTACGAATATGATGGATATATTGGAACTAATGGATATATGGAGGCTTATATATCCTGATCTAGTGAGATATACATGGCGGAGGCTCAATCAAGCTAGTCATCTTACTACTTTCTTACGTAATTTTAGCTGGCACCAAAAGTTAAAAAAGTATTGATAGGGGACAGAATGTCGTCGGACCATCAAATAATTGGTATATACATTACATTTACATTTACATTTTAGTCATTTAGCAGACGCTCTTATCCATTACTCTTACAGAATTCCCGCGAGGGCGAGGGTATTGGAAATGTAATCAAAGCATACTGGATGACAAGTTGTTTTTAACCAAGACAGAAGAATTTATAACGGACTTTTCCTACATAACATAAGTACAGCAAATCCCTTTATTGTATGGGACACTTTTAAATGTGCCTTTAGAGGCCATGCAATTCAACACTCATCTTTAAAACAAAAACTATTTAGGTCAAAAGAGTTCATCTTAACAAAGGAAATAGAGGAACTAACAGTACAGATAGAAGTAAAAACTAACAGAGGCACAGAATACGTTAGAGGAAAAACTAAAAGAAATGGAGTATGTTATAAAAAATAAAGCAACCTGGTGGGAATATGGAGAAAAATGCACCAAATTATTTTTACATCTTCAACATAGAAATGCTACCAAAAGGAATTTACAGAAACTGATGGAGTCAGTGTAACATTAACAGCTATACAGAAAGACTCATGTGAAGGTTTAATTACGAGGAGGAACTTCTAGATACATGCAAGTCTGCAAGTCTATGCTAGATGGCATACCAGTTGAGGTATATCAAATATTTTTCGATGTACTCAAAGGTCCGCTATTAACATGTTTTAACCACTCCTATAAAAATGGTAGACTATCAGATACTCAGCAAGAAGGTCTGAATTCACTATTACTGAAACAGGACCCAGGTGGTAAATATAAAGATCCAGTCCACCTAAAAAAATGGAGACCCTTTACACTGCAGTGTTGTGATGCCAAAATCCTAGCAAAATGCATAGCGCATAGAATTAAAAAGGTATTGTCGGATATTATTCATCCTAATCAGACAGGTTTTTTACATGAACTATACATTGGAGATAATATAAGACAAGTACTGGAAACAATAGAACACTATGAAAAATCTGGGAAACCAGGCCTGGTATTCATAGCTGACTTTGAAAAAGGCCTTTGATAAAGTACGACAGAAATTTATATATAAATGCCTGGACTATTTTAATTTAGGACAATCTCTTATACAATGGGTTAAAGTTATGTACAGTAATCCCAGGTGTAAAATAGTAAATAATGGCTACTTCTGAGAAAGTAATAAATTGTCAAGAGGAGTAAAACAAGGTTGTCCACTATTGGCATATCTATTTATTATGGCCATCGAAATGTTAGCTATTAAAGTCAGATCCAACAACAATAGAGGGGCTAGAAATCCAGGGCTTAAAAACAAAGGTGATGATTAATGTTTTCTTTTAAATCCGCAATTTGGATCCCTGCACAGCCTCATAGAAGATCTAGATCATTTTTATAACCTCTCTGGATTAATACCGAATTATGTGCACCATATTATACAACTTTTACATTACCGTGTGGGTTTACCAATAAAATGGTCCGACGGTGAAGTGGACAAACTCTGTATTCATATCCCGAAAGAAAGAAATTATCTCACTACAAGACATTTTAATAGAAAGTTAGCCAAATTAGATAAGATCTTGCAACCATGGAAAGGACAAACTGTCTTATTTGTGGAAAAATCATCCTGATTAATTATTTAGTCATATCACAGTTTACCTATTTACTTATGGCCCTGCCTACACCTAACATATTGTTTTTTAAATTATATGAGCAAAAAATATTCCACTTTATTTGGAACGGCAAGCTAGACCTATTTATATAATTAATATGAATTTGAGGGCAGAAATTATTAAATATTAAAGCATTGGAACTCTCACTAAAGGCTTCAATCATACAAAAACTATACTTAAATCTGAACTGGTTCTCTAGTAGATTAGTAAGAATGACCTTTTTCCCTCCATTGAGATTACAACCTTTCACTTTTGGTTATTTGAAAATGAAATAATCTCCAAAATATCGCTATGTTTAAAACAAGCCATAGAAAGTTGGTTGCAATTTCAGTTTAATCCACAGAACAAATATTACAACAAATATTATGGTTAAACTAAAATATACTAATTGATGAAAAAACATTCTTTATGAAAAAAAGAACAAGTATATTCTTTCTAAATCATATCATAAATAGGACTGGTGGATTATGTCACACATGCAGTTAACAAAAATGTCTGCTCTATCCAAAACTACAACCAACTGATTGCAGCATTACCGCAAAAATGGATGGCACATGTGGAAAGGGGAGAAGGTAAGGAACTTGTCTGTCGGCCCTGCATTAAAGACCAAAATTGGCTATAGAAAATTGTGATAAATAAGAAAGTATACCACTTTCATTTCGGGACCAAAAAATTGACAGCTGCACCATACAGGTTGCAAAATAGTTGGGAGGAGAGTTTCTATATACCGATTCCATGGCACATGGTTTATGAACTGATACACAAAACGACGCCGGATTCAAAACTTGAGTTTTTCAATTTAAATTATTATACAAAATTCTTGCAACCAATAGAATGTCATATATATGGGGCATACAACCATCCCAGCTCTGCAGATTTTGCTGCGAAGAGTCAATCATTAGATCACTTGTTTTGGTACTGCCCATATGTAGCTTGTTTTTGGTCGCAGGTTCAGGAATGGCTGAAAAATTGCAACATTTACTCAGAGCTAATTCTACAAATAGCACTGCTGGGTGATTTGAAAAGTCATAGTCAATCGATCAATAATATAATAATATGTCATACTGTATATTCCCTGTCTGTCTTGCCCATCCAGACCATTCGGAGTGTCAAGTATATGTGTGTCTCTGTCTGTCTGATGGTAGTGTCTGCCTGTCTGTCTATGTGTGTGTGTACAGTCTTACCCATCCAGACCTCTCCGAAGCAGCCCTGGCCCAGTTTGAGCTCCAGGCGGAGGGACTCCCGGGGGATCTCCCAGGCATCCTTGGCCAGGCCCTGTGTCTGGGGCTTCACCGTGGGGCACACCGTGGTCAGCCTGTGGCACAGCCCATCCGCATGCTCTGAGAGGGGGGACAGACACACACATACAGATGCACGCGCACACACATACACACACACACACATAAATACCATGGTCAACATTTTGATGAGTCACAGTAGTAACTAATATACAAGGGAAACCGAACACAGTGTAATAAGGGGACATTTCACGCATCACTTCAAGTTTGTCTGTCCGCACTGTGATACGGCTAAATTCAGACATGCCTATAATTACACAGCTAAAATATGAATAAGAAGAGAATGGTTTAACACGGCTTGGACCTGCTGCTTTCAAAATGCATCAGAGAGAAGTAGGTTATGTCCCAAATGGCACACTATTCTCTATATAGTGCACTACTTTTGACCTGGGCCCATATGTTTCTAGTCAAAAGTAGTGCACTATGTAGGGAACAGGGTTCATTTTGGGACACAAACAGCCATAAAGTGGGCTCTCCCAGAGCGCTTTCACCTCTCTCCTTTAGCGGCGAGGGAAGCACTTAAGGAAGGTATCCATTAAATATTCAATCTGAGTACCATTCATCTAGCTGGGGAAATCATAGGGCCAATTACAGGTAAGCCTGGTATTACCGAAGCACAGATGAGGGAGAGAGAGAGAGAGAGAGACTGGTGAAAGAGAGTGAATTTTAGATCAGGAACTGCGCTTGGGGAAGGGAGGGAAGCTGTGAATGAGAAAGTTACTGAGGAGCTACACTCGGGTGTTGGGAAAACAGTTGGTTTTTAGCTGCTACACTGGACGCGTGACCTTTTGCCGGCATGAGCAGAGCGCAAGCCACTTTATTAAGTGTTCTTGTGCGTGAGCTGTGCGTCAGACTCTTAAAAATAGTTTACGATGAGCAGTGTAAGCCTCGCGCGGTGCCGTGCTGCTTACACCCAGGCTTCATCGAAATGAATAGGAGTCTCTCACGCTCAGCAAGGTTACGTTTCCAGGGTAGCAGGTCTGTCAGAGAGCGAGTTTGAGAAGAGAGGTGAGTGAGTGGCTTAGAAAGAGGGAGAGAGTGAAAGAGACTATGAAAAAGAGCTAGAAGACCTACCTGTGTAGTGTTTGACCAGTTTCTGCAGCGTGTCAAACTGGGCGCGTGTGGTGATGTAGTAACCCCCGTTGTCAAGTTTGCGGATCTTATAGTGTTTCACATTGTCGCCTTTGGCATCGTCCCAGTCTCGTATGGACAAGGAGTAAGCACCTGGAGGAGACAATGACCAGATTCTTCGTCCATCCAACCAACAGTATTAAGATCTAAGCTTTATCTATTCATGTAAATGAGTGTCACTGGCTATGTCTTAAATTACTCTCTATTCCACATATAGTGCACTACTTAGGGCACCATATGAGCTCAAGTGCTGATTTAAGATCAGTTTCGCCTTTAAGATCACAATGAATCAGATAATTATGGACAGGGAGAATCTAATCCTCAGCACACCTATATTCTGAGACACTTTATGAATATGAAAAAGTAGTGCACTACATGGGGTTACTTGAGATGCAGCCCATGCACGTATTCATGCTAATCATCTTCACCTTTAGTGGTTTCACTTTCTCGCACCAGGAAGGTGCCTCGGTTGTTGCCTGGATTCAACAGCAGCCTCTCAGCATCTTTACGGCCCATTTTACCAAAGTACCACCTGAGAACACAGACTTAGAATGAGTAGAGCCTTTGTAACTTCCCAAATCTGTCCTTGAGAAACCCCCAGCCGTTCCAAGTATTTGATGCGTTCCAGAACTAGCACACCTTTCTATTTCTATGGAAGGACACACATCAACATAACATCAATACCGGCATATGTTATTATGAACTTTATTTGACTCAATACTAGTAAGGATAATTTCAGAGTTTGGAAAAGTCAAACTTCAAAATACACAATGAGAGGAAATACAGAATGAATTTTTTGAGTCCATCAGGGGTCATCTAACAAACAGGATCACATTCTATTTCCTTGCCAAATGATCATAAACCTCTAGGCTTATATCTAACATGAGATGGTAGATTAAACCCTCTGGGGCCACATGTATCAAGTGTCTCAGATGTAGGAGTGCTGATTTAGAATCATTTTTTATTTTACAGATGTAGGATCTTAATTTGAGCCAGTTTGCTACAGCAGGAAAATAATCCTGCAGCCACTAGACGTGAATTATTATGTGGATTATAATTAATGGACATTTTTGTAGGGGTTGATACATTAAGGGAAAATCAAGTCTGAAATTTCAAAGTGGAAACTTCAGAAGCCTTTTTAAACCTAAAATACACTACAAGTTAAACATTTCCTGCATTGCAGGAAAGTTATCTTGCAACAGGGTGATCAAATTAAGATCCTACATCTATAGATCGCTATGAATAAGATTACTGGGACAGGAGGAACCTGATCCTCGATAAGCACTCGTATGCTGAGATGCTTGATACATATGGCCCCAGGAGAGCAGAAGAAGCTATGAGCTATTCTAGTGAATGGGCCTCCAGTGAGAGCCATGTGATGCATGATCACGCTGCTGTGGTTAGGCTAGTGCTATTGCTGTTGTGTCAGTGGAAGGTCCTAATCAGGTTAGGTTAGGGGAGACGATAAACAAGGGCCTTACTCTTCAGCCTGGATGGAGTCAGCTGGAGCCACATAGTTACTGGGGATGTACCCCTTCTTCCCTGTGTTGATGGAGCGCGCCTCCCACCAGTCCCCTTCTCTGTAGGGGGAGAAACACAGACAGAGAGAGAGAGAGAGAGAGAGAGAGAGGGAGAATCATCCAGATCTAGTATGACTACTATGTCTGTACACTCCAGCACTCATGGATCCTAGTAACAGTAGTCTGGTTATGTCTTGGCAGTGAGTTTGTACATGCTGTCTTTTATGCATGGATTCTATAGCTATATTATGGCATGCAGCAATGTATTATATTTGAATTGAACAAAGTCAACCAAGGCTACATTCTAGAGCAGAGAGGTATTTATGACCTAAGGCACATCTGTGTTTAAGGGGTTTTATTAAATAAATGAAATGAAAGACTTCAGCGATCTGGGTGGAAAAACAGGCTCAGAGGGTGAAAACATTAATCTAACCCATGTAGGAAGTACATGTTGTACAGAGAAGGTACAATCTGCAACATGTTGTACAGAGCAGGTACAATCTGCAACATGTTGTACAGAGCAGGTGCAATCTGCAACATGTTGTACAGAGCAGGTACAATCTGCAACATTTTTTACAGAGCAGGTACAATCTGCAACATGTTTTACAGAGCAGGTACAATCTGCAACATGTTTTACAGAGCAGGTACAATCTGCAACATTTTTTACAGAGCAGGTACAATCTGCAACATGTTTTACAGAGCAGGTACAATCTGCAACATGTTTTACAGAGCAGGTACAATCTGCAACATGTTGTACAGAGCAGGTACAATCTGCAACATGTTTTACAGAGCAGGTACAATCTGCAACATGTTTTACAGAGCAGGTACAATCTGCAACATGTTTTACAGAGCAGGTACAATCTGCAACATGTTTTACAGAGCAGGTACAATCTGCAACATGTTTTACAGAGCAGGTACAATCTGCAATATGTTTTACAGAGCAGGTGCAATCTGCAACATGTTGTACAGAACAGGTGCAATCTGCAACATGTTGTACAGAGCAGGTACAAAGAGGGAGGCTGCATCCCAAATGGCATCCTATTCCCCATATAGTGCACTACTTTTGACCAGGGCCCATAGGAACTCACGTGTTATTGATGATCTGGAAGCGGTCCCCTTTTTTGAACGTCAGGTCGTCTGAAGTTCTGGCTTCATAGTCGTACAAGGCTACAAAGAACGTAACCCCACCTGAACACACACACACACACACACACAGTTAAAACATTCAAGTTAAAAGCACAAGTGAAATGAATGACAGTATATACATTTAGGAGACTCAAAAATCGTTTTGTTGACTAATTTGGGTTAGAATATGACGGCATTCAGAGCTACTAATAGCCTACTAAAGATACAAAGATTTTCTATAAATACCTGGCGACCTTTGTGCCAAGATTTGTACTGTCAACATTCAGTGACATCGACAGAAACAAACTCTGCTGCAAAGATGAGCAGGAACATTAAAATGACAAGATCAAGGGACCAATGGGAGATCAGTAAGAGAAAGTATATCTGTAGTTTCCATAGCGGTGAGCGTGTAGTGTGACAGACTGTTGTGAGAGGAATGTTGCAATAGATCCGTGTTCTCTAGCCTGCACACTCCCTATAGATTTTTCCCTGCCGGTAATTCTACTCTATGGAAATGTCCAGCGTATAAAAATATGAACAAAACTGCCACGTGTCAGGAAAGCAACATAGACACGCCATTGGCCCTGGATACGACCTGGGTTGAAATACTATTTGAAATTATTTGAAATACTTAAACTGGGCTAAATTGAGCATTCCTGGTGCAATGGAATCGATAGAATAGTTGAAAACTGCAGACCCTGCTCATCTGGCACTCTAGGCTAAAGCAAAGATTTCAAATAGTATTTGAACCCAGCTCTGCCATGGATTCATTGGGAAGGGTAAAGGGAAATACTGTCATTCATGTAGGGCATTCATTTCACAGGGGGGTGGATACTACCTTGGTTGCTCTGACAGGGGAGCGGATTTAATCATCCAGCAAGGTTGTTGTTTGTTTAGCGTCGTAGGGGAAATACTTACGTCAGCTCGGTGCAAATCTAACATAATTACAAAGCATGAATAATAGCATAGCACAGGTCATCTCACAGCTGTAATGTCAACACAGAATACACTGTAAACCTTCTGCTTACTGGACAGATTAGATAAGTAGGCAGATTGTATGGGTAACCATCTATGGCCACGTCCCAAATGGCACCCTATTCCCTATATATGTTAGTGCACTACTTTTGACCAGGGCCCGTAGGGTGCCATTTCGGACCCAGTCTCTGACACACCTCATATGGAGCTCATATTCATCTAAGCCACCGCTGAACAACACAATGCTGCCAACACTAATCCCATTCAATTGTAGAGGAGCTCCATACCGTGCCATGGACCCCCCCCAAGACCAGATGATAAAACAGGGAGGGGGATTACAAGCCTAATCCCACCTAAACAGGAGGGCTAAATCTCATCTCTCTGCTCTTTGGGACCTTATCAGACCTATAGAAATATGTATCTTTCAATCATTGTTGATTTGTTGCTGTGGACAACATGATTGACGGACATTTAGATGGAGAAGATGATAGACCATTGGATTTTAATTGGCTGAAACACAGAAGGCAGATGGACTTTGGAGCCACTCCAGATATTGAGTTGTCAGATCACCAGCTATTCTGTTGGAGAATAAGTATATGGGTTCTTGTGAAGGAACCATAGCAGTCTCAAATGCGAAAGTATTCACCCCCCTTGGCATTTTTCCTATTTTGTTGCCTTACAACCTGAAATTAATTTTGTATCATTTGATTTACACAACATGCCTACCACATTGAAGATTAAAATATTTTTTCTTGTGAAATAAACAAGAAATAGGACAAAACATTTGAAAAATTGAGCGTGCACAACTATTCACCCCCCCAAAGTCAATACTTTGTACAGCCACCTTTTGCAGCAATTACAGCTGCAAGTCTCTTGGGGTATGACTCTATAAGTTTGGCACATCTAGCCACTGGGATTTTTTCCCATTCTTCAAGGCAAAACAGCTCCAGCTCCTTCAAGTTGGATGGGTTCCGCTGGTGTACAGCAATCTTTAAGTCATACCACAGATTCTCAATTAGTTTGAGTTCTGGGCTTTGACTAGGCCATTCCAAGACATTTAAATGTTTCCCCTTGAACCACTCGAGTGTTGCTTTAGAAGTATCCTTAGGGTCATTGTCCTGCTGGAAGGTGAACCTCCGTCCCAGTCTCAAATCTCTGGAAGACAGAAACAGGTTTCCCTCAAGAAATTCCCTGTATTTAGCGCCATCCATCATTCCTTCAATTCTGACCAGTTTCCCAGTCCTTGCCAATGAAAAACATCCCTACAGCATGATGCTGCCACCACCATGCTTCACTGTGGGGATGGTGTTCTCGGGGTGATGAGAGGTGTTGGGTTTACGCCAGACATAGCGTTTTCATTTATGGCCAAAAAGCTCAATTTTAGTCTCATCTGACCAGAGTACCTTCTTCCATATGTTTGGGGAGTCTCCCACATGCCTTTTGGCGAACACCAAACGTGTTAGCTTATTTTTCTTTTTAAGCAATGGCTTTTTTCTGGCCAATCTTCCATAAAGCCCAGCTCTGTGGAGTGTACGGCTTAAATTGGTCCTATGGACAGATACTCCATCTCCGCTGTGGAGCTTTGCAGCTCCTTCAGGGTTATCTTTGGTCTCTTTGTTGCCTCTCTGATTAATGCCCTTCTTGCCTGGTCCGTTAGTTTTGGTGGGCGGCCCTCTCTTGGCAGGTTTGTTGTGGTGCCATATTCTTTCAAATTTTTTTATAATGGATTTAATGGTGCTCCGTGGGATGTTCAAAGTTTCTGATATTTATTTATAACCCAACCCTGATCTGTACTTCTCCACAACTTTGTCCCTGACCTGTTTGGAGAGCTCCTTGGTCTTCATGGTGCCGCTTGCTTGGTGGTGCCCCTTGCTTAGTGGTGCCCCTTGCTTAGTGGTGTTGCAGACTCTGGGGCCTTTCAGAACAGGCGTATATATATACTGAGATCATGTGTCAGATCATGTGACACTTAAATAAAGTCCACCTGTGTGCAATCTAACTAATTATGTGATTTCTGAAGGTAATTGTTTGCACCAGATCTTATTTAGGGGCTTCATAGCAAAGGGGGTGATTTTTTTTCTTCCATTTCACTTCACCAATTTGGACTATTTTGTCCATTACATGAAATCAAAATCAAAATAAATTTAAATTACAGGTTGTAATGCAACAAAATAGGAAAAACGCCAAGGGGATTAATACTTTTGCAAGGCACTGTACAGTGGGGAAAAAAAGTATTTAGTCAGCCACCAATTGTGCAAGTTCTCCCACTTAAAAAGATGAGAGAGGCCTGTAATTTTCATCATAGGTACACGTCAACTATGACAGACAAAATGAGATTTTTTTTTTTAGGATTTGTAATGAATTTATTTGCAAATTATGGTGGAAAATAAGTATTTGGTCACCTACAAACAAGCAAGATTTCTGGCTCTCACAGACCTGTAACTTCTTATTTAAGAGGCTCCTCTGTCCTCCACTCGTTACCTGTATTAATGGCACCTGTTTGAACTTGTTATCAGTATAAAAGACACCTGTCCACAACCTCAAACAGTCACACTCCAAACTCCACTATGGCCAAGACCAAAGAGCTGTCAAAGGACACCAGAAACAAAATTGTAGACCTGCACCAGGCTGGGAAGACTGAATCTGCAATAGGTAAGCAGCTTGGTTTGAAGAAATCAACTGTGGGAGCAATTATTAGGAAATGGAAGACATACAAGACCACTGATAATCTCCCTCGATCTGGGGCTCCACACAAGATCTCTCCCTGTGGGGTCAAAATGATCACAAGAACGGTGAGCAAAAATCCCAGAACCACACGGGGGGACCTAGTGAATGACCTGCAGAGAGCTGGGACCAAAGTAACAAAGCCTACCATCAGTAACACACTACGCCGCCAGGGACTCAAATCCTGCAGTGCCAGACGTGTCCCCCTGCTTAAGCCAGTACATGTCCAGGCCCGTCTGAAGTTTGCTAGAGTGCATTTGGATGATCCAGAAGAGGATTGGGAGAATGTCATATGGTCAGATGAAACCAAAATATAACTTTTTGGTAAAAACTCAACTCGTCGTGTTTGGAGGACAAAGAATGCTGAGTTGCATCCAAAGAACACCATACCTACTGTGAAGCATGGGGGTGGAAACATCATGCTTTGGGGCTGTTTTTCTGCAAAGGGACCAGGACGACTGATCCGTGTAAAGGAAAGAATGAATGGGGCCATGTATCGTGAGATTTTGAGTGAAAACCTCCTTCCATCAGCAAGGGCATTGAATATGAAACGTGGCTGGGTCTTTCAGCATGACAATGATCCCAAACACACCGCCCGGGCAACGAAGGAGTGGCTTCGTAAGAAGCATTTCAAGGTCCTGGAGTGGCCTAGCCAGTCTCCAGATCTCAACCCCATAGAAAATCTTTGGAGGGAGTTGATAGTCTGTGTTGCCCAGTGACAGCCCCAAAACATCACTGCTCTAGAGGAGATCTGCATGGAGGAATGGGCCAAAATACCAGCAACAGTGTGTGAAAACCTTGTGAAGACTTACAGAAAACGTTTGACCTGTGTCATTGCCAACAAAGGGTATATAACAAAGTATTGAGAAACTTTTGTTATTGACCAAATACTTTTTTTCCACCATAATTTGCAAATAAATAAATAAAAAAATGCTACAATGTGATCTTCTGGATTTTTTTTTCTCATTTTGTCTGTCATAGTTGACGTGTACCTATGATGAAAATGACAGGCCTCTCTCATCTTTTTAAGTGGGAGAACTTGCACAATTGGTGGCTGACTAAATACTTTTTTCCCCCACTGTATATAGCATTGTTGTTATGATAGAACGGCATACAGGTACGAAAAGAAATCCACACTTGAAAGATACATGCATACATGCATCGCACAAATCATCCATTGATGTCAACAGGTGATTGCACCAAAACTCGAGTTACGCTTCCAGATCTCAAGTTCGGATTCTGTAAATAGTAGGCAAGTCTAAAATGTAAATACGTGATTCACATGAAAATTCACGGTAGGCTATGCTTGAAGATCTACATTTAGGATTATGTGGATAGTAGGCAAGTTTCACCTGAGACGGCACCGGGGAATGCGCCGGGGAGAGCACCGGTGAAGGAGGTGGATGCCCCTCCGAAGGGGGTCATGATGGAGGCTCCTCCGAAGGGGGTGATAGCGTGGGGGTTGAAGCCTGTGGTGGGCCCAGAGGAAGGTGGCTGGTTCTGCTGCAGCTGGGTGGGGTCGGGCCCGTAGGGGCCTACGTGGGGGGCGATGACGTCCGAGGCCGAAGCATTGTCCGGCCGGTACTTCATGGTGGGGCCTTTGTCGTCTTTACTCTTGATGCAGCCCATGGTCACGTCTGGAGGGAAACACACACACTTAGTTAGAGCTTAGTTTCAGGACAGTATTCACTCCTGTGTCACCCTCGGCATAGACGTGATCGGTTGAGTGTGCAGGGGTGGCACTTCATCAGTCGAAACGACGATGAAAGAAAGAGTTGGAAAAAGAGCTAGAGGTTAAAAATGATTAAGTATTACAACATATGGACTGGTTAGGAGGATGCCTTAAACAATGAGATGACTACCTCTGTAGCTGTCCCACAACCTAGACGAATGTATGTCTATAAAATGTTCATTTTGAAATTGTTTTTTGTCATAAACCATTTGTTGCCATTTTATTGCTAAAGCCACAAGCCCAGATGCTCTATAAATCTAGGACACAAATCTTAAATCTGATCTGAAATGATTTGGTTGTAGAGCGTCACTCTTACATTTACATTACATTTTAGTCATTTAGCAGACGCTCTTATCCAGAGCAACTTACAGGAGCAATTAGGGTTAAGTGCCTTGCTTAAGGGCACAGCGACAGATTTTTCACCTAGTCGGCTCGGGGATTAGAACCAGCGACCTTTCGGTTACTGGCACAACGCTCTTACCCACTAAGCTACCTGCCGCCCCTCTTCCTAACGCATGTTACATGGTCATAATCAAAAACATGACCGGGTTCAAGCACACCCATAAGACTGTGAGACAGCACTAGTCCAGTATATCCAATGCAAAATTCATGCATGTTGTGTTGACGGTCTAAAGACGTTTTATAAGTGGGTTTAGGGCTGTTGTGTTGTATACCTGTAGGACTTAAGGAGATGTTTATTACATATGAATATCCAATTGACAGCATCTGAAATGCAGTGCTGTTGTTGGCTAAATAGTGAGAATATCTTCCCAGAATAAACATTTGCTGCCTCTTTTATGGGTCAAACATCACAATAAGGGTTGCAAACCAGACATTAAAAACTCCATGTACATTAGGTTATGTCCCAATTTTCCACCCTTCTTCCGAAGTGTGCACTTGCACACTCCCGGTCATGGATTTAAAAGGAATGGTGTAAGCATTGGCAGGAGGGAGTTTCCACCATTGCTAAAGCCATGCAAGAACGTGTGCAAGTACATACTTCAGGGGATGGTTGGCGAATCAGCATGTCACTTTAAATCACCAGTGACTCTTACGTGAAACCATATGTCCAAAAAGCTACAACACATCTACACTGCCATTTTGACCCATCTGCATTGTTGTTATTCTTCCCTACAACAGAATTGGCCAGTGTTATGTCAAGGCATTCCTTTGTGAAGAGAAGGCCCAGTAAATATGGTTGCCATCAGACACGCTCCTATAACAGGCTCCAGTCAGGGGATGATTTGACTGATCCGGAAACAGCTGCCCTAGTCTGAGGGTTACAGCCAGGATTCTCTATCGTTTCTCTACCAGGAGGTGGATAGCTTTCTTTGAAATCGTGAGCCTTCTTGCAAACAAGCTATGATTAATTCCTTACTTTGAAGGAGAACTTTGATTTACTCTTGAGAGCTGACTGTCAGTCAGCAACATCCCAGGGACGTATAGGGCAAAATTCCAGTAACTTTCCCAAATGTTCCAGAAATCCTGGTCCAAATCCAGATTTCCATCTTATTCCCTCCTGATTACAGGAATATTTTCTGGAAAACCTGTGAATTTTGGGAACGTTACCGGGATTTTGCACCCCTGTGATTGTGAAACACTGGTTTAGAAGACAGAGAGAAAGGGAATCGCAGAAGTTCACAGAGTTCGTCAGCAGTAGAACTGCCAAGTACACTGAATAAATTGCATGCTATGGCATGCTATGGTTCGAATTACATGTCAGTACTTGATTTAAGAGTAGGGCTGGGAATTGCCAGGGACCTCACGATACGATATTATCACGATACTTGGTTGCCGATACATTATGTATTCCAATTCTCATGATTCTATATGTATTGCGATTCGATACTGTGATTTTTATTGCGATTCAATGTTACAAACATATTGCTCACTATATGTCTGCTGTAGAGGGACAAGATAGAGCAATGACTAAATGTGTTTTGATCAGTCATGTTGGCTCACTATTTAAAAAGAAGATTAACAAACTATGGGATGACAAATGCCAGTGTTTTGGCGCAGGTACAGCAGGTGAACACAACCTAGCAAAAAAATGTATAATCAATTAATTTTTGTTTACAAATCGATATGGAGTCAAGGTATCTGATAGGCCTATTTTAAGTGAACTCAGATTTGAAAAGAAATGAAAAGGCTTGGTCCATATAAATCTAATCTCAGATGTTAAGCTCGGAGGCCAAGGAACTCTGTCAGCCACATGAGTACAGAACCAGCCCTCCCTTCAAAAGGAGGCTAACCCACCCTCCCCTTTAACTTGAGATGGTATGCTGGGCTCCTGGTGGGTAGAGCGGTTGGGTTGGTTGACTGTGGTTGCTTTGAAGTTTACCATCAGAAAGAAGTGGCCCAGAGATGCAAGGTCAGCACTTATCTTGCCACACCATAACGCACAGTTCCAGGCCTACATCACAAGGCTCCAGCCTGGATCTTTTCCTTTACAACATCTCCATAAAACTCAGAGACCATCTGTTCCAGCATTCTTCTAACGGAGACGCAGTCAACCATTCGCCAACTTCGCCCTTACGTCACAGTGAGTCATACACAGTCATATAGTGAGTGAGCTCTAGCTCGCTGAGAAAACTTGACTGGATTAGTCTCGGCTGGCTGTAAGACAGAGACGTAAAGCTGGAAAGGCAGTGTATATTCAGCAGCACCCAACTGGGTAGACACACGCACACACCTGTTCCTCTGGCGCATTTGTATAAACAGACAGCAGAGGAGGGGATCATGATCTTATGATCCAAGCATTCACACCCAAGCCGTTTTAAAAGCCCCTTCCCTAACACATGGCCTAAGTGAAACCCTTCTCCTATTCTAAGTAAATGGGCACAGCAGCAGGTTCATATAGCCATGAATATGCCTAGTACAGTATTACAAGTGATTGTTTTTCATCTCATGTCATGCTTTCGCCCATACACTAATCCCCATAGCCCCCCTCCTATACACAAACGTTGATAATCAGAGCAAAAAACCATTGCATGGCAGAGCGGAAGAGATTTGCTCTGAATGTAGAGATAAAAAAAAAAAATGTGTGTGTGCCAAAGAGATACACAGAGAGTGGGCTGGGGCTTTGTGCCAAACCCTCTCACATGGGTGACTGTCAGCGCAGAGAAGAGCCTGTTGAGAGAGAGAGAGAGTCCCCTGGCCAACTGCATGCAGGATTATGAGGAGGGAGGCTTTGCGCTGGCTGTGAGGATGATGAGAGACATAACAACCCGCTTCCATATATGGTGTGGTGGACGTAGGCTGACAGAGGGTGGGGGATGGAACTATCTGAAGAACAGATGAGGGCATGAGGGCTTAAATGGTATGCCCAGCTACTTTCCGTAGCCTTTCTTCTTCTTCTACTCCTTCCACTATAGCGCTCTCTTCATTTACCGAAGTTAATTATACACCTTGTGCCACCTGTCTGTGTAGATCCTTCCTGTGATCCAATAACATTAGTCCTCCAGAAGGATAATGTCTTCAGGCTACCGGTGATCTGATGGATTCTGTCCCGTAGGAGCTTAACACTACTCTTGGCTGTGATGATGTGATCTGGGGTGGCTGTGCTTTGGCTGACAGCCTTCATCAGCTCACAGCTAACCCACAATCTATACAGGCGACAGTTAAAGCAGCCCACACACATAATGACATTATGGGTTTAGCCCACATCATGCTTTGTAGTCTTCAACACCAACCATAGCTTCTCACAGAGAGCAGATTACCAGGGGGGAGAAATTAGACAAGGCGAGATGAGATATGCACTGCAATGTCATGCACTGCAATATCATCTACTCTGCATTGATCAGTGTAGAGACTATACTGACGATAATGATCAACTCAGAGCTTGGGCTGGGAATTGCCAGGGACCTCACGATAAAATATTATCATAATACTTTGGTGCCGATATGATATATATTGCGATTCACAATTCTATATGTATTGCGATTCGCTACTGTGATTTTATTCAGATTCAATGTTTCTAACATATCGCTCACCATATGTCTGCTGCAGAGGGACAAGAGAGAGCCATGAGAAAAAAAGTTTTGATCTGTCATGGAAAGAAAAGCGCTGAAAACGAATTGGCTCCCTATTTAAAAAGAAGATGGAGAACAAGCTCTGAAGGAAACGTTTTGGTACAGGTACAGCCAACTTGCACAAAAATAATACTGCGATATTGTCAAAACGATACAACACAGTACCAGTCAAAAGTTTGGACACAAACTGTGCAAAGCTGTCATCAAGGCAAAGGGTGGCTACTTTGAAGAATCTCAAATATGTTTTGTTGTGTTTATCACTTTTTTGGTTACTACATGATTCCATATGTGTTATGTCATAGTTTTGAGGTCTTCACTATTTCTACAATGTAGAAATTAGTACAAATAAAGAAAAACCCGGGAATGAGTAGCTGTGTCCAAACTTTTGACTGGTACTGTATATCGTCAAAGATAATATTCCGATATGTAACTGTATCGCAGTGGAGGCTGTTAAGGGGAGGACAGCTCATAATAATGGCCGGAACAGAGCCAATGGAATGGCATCAAACATGTGGCATCAAACACATTGCACAAGTTGACTGCAGGTATTTACCAAAACAATTATTACAAATATTACAATGTATTGAAAAACTGCAAAGAAATAGTTTTAACGGTATTGAAAAACCATCTTGTGGCTATTTCCAAATACCCCGGTATACGGTATATACGGTATACCACCCAAGCAAACCTACATGTTGCATGCCTTCAAGATTATTGGTCTAGAGTTGAACGATCTAGGCCTACAACTCCAGGAAGAATGGTCCTTTTAGTCTGACCAGACCACTCATTCTCTTTCTCACCCACTTTCTTTAAGGCCCTCTGACTCCAGCTCCCAGCTTTGACTGAGATTACAGGAATAGTGTTGATGCAACATAAAACATTACGATCCATGGATATTGTTACGGTTATAAA